ATCACCCAGCAAGTGGAGATCGCTGACTTTTAAAGAAAACAGACCTTAAACGCACCGGATTTTGCATTGGCATTCAATTCAAAGCGCTTAACCCAGGTTAATGGCAAATTAAAAGTCCTATTAGCATGCTTCGGCATATACCCCATTCCGATAAGCAGGTCAGACTGTCTGTCAGCAAATGTAGATTCCGACTTCTGCGCATCTGTTCACGCAGATCTGCCATTAGCGTGTGCCCGTCTGCATCACAAACGAATGCGGGCGAGCAAGCTGCGGGCCACTTGCCGATGCCGAGTCGGAGCCGGAGGTGCTGAAGGACAGCCGAGCTTTGGCCGATTACTGTAAAGCCAGGCGTGGGTATAATTCGCCCGTAAAGCGGCCGCGCGGTCACGAGACGGACAGGGAGAAATCAAAAGCTGAATTGAAACTTTTAAAAAATTGGGGGAAAAATATATACATAGGGAGTAATAATTCTGACTTCAACTGTATATATAAAAATCGCCACTCTATTAGCCATGTTTCCATCCAAAGCATCCAAAATTAAAATAGTGCAAAAAACATCTGCCAACAATACACCGTTTCCCTCCAATGTGTTTAAAAGGGAAAAAAGTCACTTTCTAAAAAACTGAATCAGTGTTTCTGTGAACTGAGAAAAAGTTAACAGCTATGTTTCCATCCAAAAAACTGTAATATTGCATAAAAGACATGCAAATAATTAACGTTTCCATCCAATGAGTCAAAGAGAACAAAATTGGGCACTTCCTAATTATCAAATATCATGAGTAAACACAGAATTTGCTGCAGTAGGAGAAGCTGTGCGAATCTTTTCTTTATTTAATAAATGACTTGCGCCTCAGAAAACAGTATGCGGTCATACAATGAACGAGTGCTGGCATTTGAAGCTATGAGACGCAGATGCTCTTGACAGTTCTGGAGGTAATTAATAATATACAGTTTTTCTCAGTCGCTTTGGTGCATTCCTCACTACACTATTTACATTTGCACAACAGTTAATGCATTTCTCAAAACAATTAGTCATTTGTGCACATCCTAGTAGCAGTTTCTCATTCTTTTCAACAAATTGTGAACGCTTTTGGACATGCATCAATTGCTTTCATACAACTCTCTGCGGTTTATAACATTATCATCTGCTTCAGTCATGTCAGTCAAAATGAACTGAACTTGTAAATGCTGAATAGTCATTCCATATAAAACTAATAGTCCTCATTTCATTACTTGAGTCATTACAGATAAAAATGGTGAACTAGTTGTCAAAATCTGTCAAACAAATGTTATAAAACAAATTTAAATCTTTATTTTCCTGAAAATGTCTTTAAAGTTGAACAATTTGATGTATGATTTACAGACCTGTGTATGTTGTAGGCTCAGTTCCAATATGTACTGCAATATTGTTTACAGTTGTGCACAGCTCTACCTAAAGGGAGTTCATGTTTGTTGTAAATAAGGGTGTGTTTATTCTTTTGCACAATGCTGTGAGTAAATTAGGATTGCAAAGAGCAAATGCAGTAAAAATGTGAAACATACATATTTAGTGTCTTGTACTCAAATAACTCACTCAATGCAGTGATGTCTCACTTTACTGTAGTTTTCAAATGGCTGTGCTAATAGTCTATGCTGCTGTCTTGAGCATTTTCAGGAAGTGTCACCAACATTTGACTTTTTTTTGCATTGAAAAAATGTACTGAGTAAACTGACATAATGAAAACATGACTAAGCCATTTGACTATCTTGTTCATAAACAATGCTGTCAGGACTTTTCATTTTGACGATACCGACTCTTTGATTGACATGAATACTTACTTTTGAGGAATGAACTATCCATTTTGAGCATGTGACGCGCTTTTGCAGGTTATCAGCTAGGTTTTGCAGTTTGCACTAATTGTTTTGAGAATTGCATTAACTGTTGTGCAAATGTAAATAGTGTAGTGAGAAATGCACCAACTCTGTGTGGAGTTTGCATGTTTTCTTCCCATGTTGGCGTGGGTTTCCTCCAGGTGCTCCGGTTTCCCCCACAGTCTAAACACATGCGCTATAGGGGAATTGAATAATCTAAATTGACCGTAGTGTACTAGCGCGTGTGAATGGGTGTTTCCCAATACTGGTTTGAAGCTGGAAGGGCATTCGCTGCATAAAACATATGCTAGAACAGTTGGCGGTTCATTCCGCTGTGGTGACCCTTGATAATTAAGAGACTAAGCCGAAAGAAAATGAATGAATCCTGAGAATCACTGTCTGATGTCTGTGAAAAGCATGGTCTATGATGGATGTGGAAGGTAACGGTGGCGCAGTGGTTAGCACTGTCGCCTCACAGCAAGAAGGCCACTGGTTTGAGTCCCGGCTCGGTTAGTTGGCATTTCTGTGTGGAGTTTGCATGTTTTCCCCACAAGTCCAAACCAGGGGCGTTGCGAGGGGGGGGCTTTGGGGGCTTAAGCCCCTGATGTATTGTCAAAAGCCCCTGATCTCTTGGAATATATTGCACTTAAATAAAAATATGTTGTTTAACATTTATTTTGTTATCTAAGTACTGAAAATGACCACATACATCACGAACATTCCACTTAACGCAGCGTTTGTGTTAGGTAATTAAATCGTCAGCTGTTTAGCAGTACCTGTTTCTACCGGCAGGTGGGAGTGGCTCTGTTGTCACATGGTGTTAAAAAAATCCCGCCACTGCACTTCATTCATTCATTATTTTGAGGAGCTGAAGCTAATGAGGTAATAATACAACTCTTTCGCGAAACTGAATAGTTTTAACTACTGATGAAACTTGTTTCCCCAGTATAAAATGTGTGTAATTCTGATGATTTTAAAATAACTATAATCAGTAAAATGGGCATCATATTAATGTAAATACATGCGAGTAAGTACAAAAAAAAACGTAAATTGTTCTAGCTTTCTAGATATAATATATATATGAGATAGCAAGTCACATCTGTTTCTGTAATAGTTAAATCACAGTGAGTTTATTCATCTAGCTTATTGTTATATAGCTATATTCTAGTGTAACATGCTATGTCAATTTGCATCATATTATAAATCGACTTTCTTATGAAAATACATAAAATGGTTGGAAGAGCACATACAGTTGAAGTCTGAATTATTAGCCCCCGTTTATTTTTTTCCCCAAATTCTGTTTAACGGAGAGAAATTTGTTTTCAGCACATTTCTAATCATAATAGTTTTAATAACTCAACTCTAATAACTGATTTATTTTATCTTTGCCATGATTACAGTCATATTTGACAAGACATTTTTAAAAACACTTCTATACAGCTTAAAGTGACATTTAAAGGCTTTAAAGGCAGGTTAGGGTAATTAGGCAAGTTATTGTATAACGATGGTTTGTTCTGTAGACTATCGAAAAAAATATAGCTTAAAAGGGCTAATAATTTTGACCCTAAAATGTTTTTTTTTAATGTAAAACTGCTTTTATTCTAGCTGAAATAAATCAAATAAGACTTTCTTCAAAAGGAAAATATTATCAGACATAGGCTACAGTGAAAATTTCCTTGCTCTGTTAAACAAAATTTGGGAAATATTTAAAAAACAAAATAAAATTCAAAGGAGGGCTAATAATTCAACTGTATAAAACATTTATTGTTGCAGTCGTGTAAATGATCAGTTAAAGCCTTTTTATTTTTATTCAGATCTTATTTTCATTCTACTACAGCAACAGCTGGTTGCCTTCATCCATATTAGGGATTTCCTGAATGTTCTACTTTTGTGAAGAATATATATGGAATTTCTGCTCAAGTATGATTAAAACAGGCATTACATGCATTTAAAGTGCTACAATGCCCACATCACCCTATTTTGAGGAAAACTGAAAAAAAATTCCCTGTAGAAATTTAAAGTAAACATATTTCTAGCATATAGATCTTTATTTTTATTTTTTGTAGCCTACTACTTTTGATAGAATTGTTATTATATAAAAAAAATAGTAGCCTATTGAATATCAATATTTTGCAAGGTATTGAATTTAGAAATTCCATTATCTTGACAACACTACACCTCAGTTAATCACTCTGAACATGTTTGTAGCTTTGTATCACATTGGATAACAACTCACACTATAAAATAAATCATATTTTCAGATTTGAAGACATGCAGAAAATTACATTTTCAAAAAACAAACAGAAAGTTCAAATCAGGAGGAGATAGGAGGCTCAAGAGGATTGATATAGCTCATAACAGACTATTAAATGAGAAGTGGGTTAATTTATCAATGTTTTTTTTCCTATTTGGATTTTACAAGTCTTAAAAACCCCTTATTTATTATTAACCATTTTTAATCCTGTTAATAAGATTAGAGTAGGTATATTAGTTTGGTAAATTAAAACTTCTTTTTTTATATAATTCTTTATTTTGGGTGGTGGGGGGGATTTCTTTGGGGCTAAGCCCCTTATCCCTTTCGACCCTAGCAACGCCCCTGGTCCAAACATATGCACAATAGGTGAATTGGGTAAGCTAAATCGCCCGTAGTGTATGAGTGCATGTCCTAGAGGGTTGAGCGTTGGGCTAACGACCCACCTCATAAAAATGAGATGTTACAAAACACCAATATGGTGAGGCTTAATATCAACTTTGATATAAACGGCCCTGGGGTAAGTACGGATGAGATCGGTTCACTGGTTCAAATCATATCTTCTGTTAAGGCTTTTTAGACGACCATGCTAAAATGTATTCGGTAAATGAGTTTATGCACAATTTTTAAGCCTACTCCGATGCTTTCATGTGTATTTTCTGAAATATATCCAGTGTTTTTATGCAACTCATCAAACAGGTGGATGGAAACACAGCTAATGTCTATGAAGCGTATAAGTCACTGATTGACTGTCACATGCACAATGTCAAGGACCAAATTTCTGCCACCGTTTACGACGGGCACATCAGAATGGTTGTGTGCGTGTTTTCTTGTGCTTTTTGTACTGTTTACTTGTGATCTGAATTGCAGAAAATACGACACACAGGTTGCTACTCACGATGTGAATGAAATCCATGGGCGTTGCTAGATACAGCTCCCAGTGCAGCTTGTGTAAGATGACTCGCTCCATGCGCAGGATCTCAGCGGTGGAGAATTTGCATCTGCTTTGCTCCAGCAAGTCTTTAACCGATGCAATCACCTGTTTCACCAACAAAACAGAACAATAAACATGCTGGAATGGTTACAAGTTGTGTGTGTGTGTGTGTGTGCATTAAATTGCAGCATCGTCATCATCATCAGTTTTCTTAAATTTCAGCGCTACATCATCATATAGTTTTTATTTAATGCCATGTCAGCAACAACAGCCATTTTGCTAGGAAAGATATGTTATTAATAAATATACAATTAAAAAAAACACAAACAAATAAACGCATAAATTAGTTACAATTTTTTATCTCAATACACTTCATTTAACATGTACACATAGACATCACCTATTTACTATATAACTACAGGATAACTATATTTATATATAATAACTTTAACTGTTAAAAGATCTTATTTAGTTAGTAAATTAGTGAAGTAGTTCTAATTAGTAGGACATCATTCAGACAGCCAGGCCAAGCACTTCCAGTAAACTGTTGCATCGTTACAAAGTCACCATGTATGAGGTCTGATTTCTTTGAAAAGCAGCGATCTTCACTGCTGGATATAAATTTGTTATAAGGTGGGTCTCAGGCCAGACCAAAAGCACTGCATTAAATTCTATTTTTCCACACCATCTTTAAATTATGAACATTAATTTTACCCCAGTATTTTCAATGAAATCTGCGCTCACCTGCTGCTACTGATGGCGCTAGAGTTTACACGGTCAACAACTTAATGAATGCTTGAGTTTATTTAACTGAATGTATTTTAATTACATTACAATGTGGATGCTGTAAAAGCAACCTTTTCAATTGAAAATAGTCACATTAACCTTTCACTGGAAGCTTATTGTTGGCTGAAAAACACTAACTGTGTATATATAGCCCACTGGAAGTTGAAAAATAAATAAATAAATAAATAAAACTTGCCTCGTCCTCCTCGTTGATTTTTGCTGCAAGAATCAGAGAAGTGATGGCCATGCATTTGAGATATTTCAACTGAGTCTGGGGAAAAATTATAAAAATTTAACACGTTTAGTTAGTTAGAGTGGCATAAAATACTGTATTAACATCGATATTGCAATGTGCGAATCTGCAATATTAGCATCGCAGCATCTTGAAGTGACAAATTGGGATTGGGATTCTAATCTAACAGCAACTCTAACCTAGTAGAGTGAACCCCTCAATACTGTCAGACAATAAATAAATAAATAAATAAATAAATAAACAAACAAACATAATAAAAATAAATACAAAGATAAATAAAACAAAAAAGAAAAGTAAACAAATGTATTTGTTTATTATACAACTATATTTATTTTTTATTTATTTAGATGCATTAAGGCCAGTGACTGCAAGATTAAGCAAATTAAAACCAAAAGGTCTGCTGTTTAATTGTGTTTAATTATTTATATAATGAAGACTATTATAATATGATTTTACATTTGATTATTGAACTTCTATACCTCAATACTATTATACTCCACCAAAAACCTTAAAACATTTTTCATTTTTATATTAGTTCTGCTGTTTACATCTGTGCTTTAATTTATTTTATTTTGTATATATTTTTGTATAATTTTGTATATATTTATGCAGATGCACTCCCTTATGAAGTCCATCACAATCAATGTGAAATGTGAATTCTTTCAAAGGCCTCCAAAAGATATTTCTCTGGTCAAATAAATAATAAATTAAAAAATTAAATTAAAATAAAACATGAATTAAAATAAATAACCAAGCAAAAATAAATCAAATATAAAAGACAGACATTAAAAAAAAAAAAATATTAAAAATATTAATAATAATAATAACAATAACAACAACAATAAAAATAAATATCTAAATAGAAAAATAAATAAATAAACTAAAATACATTTTAGAAAAGATTTTAATAAATAAATAAATTATAAAAATAAATAAATCCTAAATAATAATCATTTTAAAAATAAATACATAAAATAAATAACATTTATATTCATGTATAAATAAATACAAATAAATCCATTAATTAAAACTAAATAAGTAAAAATAAAATGAATCAAAGATTAAAATAAATAAATAAAAACATAAATAAAGATAAATAGAAATAAAAACACATACATACCCTACCTACATAAATACATGCTTTTTCTCAAGTAATACAAAGGTATAGAAAAGTATATTTATTTCACTTACCTTGACTGTTGCGAGGAGGCTGTTAAGAACACAGACTCCCAATGCGAGCGTCTCTGTGGAAAACTGGAAAATGACGTTCATTTCACGCAACCACAGGATCACCTCATGATACTGAGAGGGGCTGATGTCCGAACCCTGAAAACACACAAAACACGACAAATGCGGAGCTCAATAACAGATGCACTGAACAGTTGAGCTCCAGCAGAAATCACAAATAGAATTTATTTATCCGTGCAGCCCTAGTATGCAGTTTCAGATACAGCTCCTGGTTAATTTGGTTAACCACACAAGACTTGTGTTTATTTAAGGGAGTACAGCAAATTAACAAGAAGCTTCTACCTGAATGCAGCCGTTCTTGAGCACCGGAGCTCTCCACAGCCGCATTTCTCTGTCCAGCGTGTTGAGCAACAGAGTTCCCAGACGCTGATTCTCCTCTTCACCTGGCAGTTTCATGGCTGTTTTAAAAGCTAGCCTTTTCCAATGGAAGTAATGCCTGAGAACGAAAACACACACATGTAATAGGATTTCTAGGAAATACTGTAGTGTTGTCATACTATAGTTTGTTTATTAAGTTTTTATATCAACTTCAGCATATTATAAACTATTGTGCAAAGGTTTATATGATTTATTCACAATACAGTTTGTAAAAGTACTATATTTTCGGCCTTTTTGGTAAATATATTATATATGAGAGACTTGCTTTGTTTACCAAACAAGTGGATCTAATTGGATTTGCATTGAAAACTTCAAATAAAAATGTTTTTTATTTTTATTTCATGCAATATAATACATTGGCCACCAAGGGGGTCAACTTTTTTGGTAGTAGTTTGGTAATGCATGCATCAATTAATCAAATATATGAATGCATTTAAATTACATCTAATTTATCAATAAAATGTATACAACAGTGTTTTGAGGGATATTTAGGGACTATTTTAGAGGTTACTGTAATCCAAACTACACTAATTGTTTCTAATTTTTCTTTTTTTAAGCTACATGCTGATAGAAACACCTATTTTTTCAGACTGTTGAATGAATTTTTTCCAAGCATTGATTGGTGCATTATGCATTCACAATGGTATTTGTAAATGTATATTTATATTATACATTTTTACTTATTAATATACAATATATACATCAGAGAAAGCTATTTCTTACCGACTACCCCTCCACCATACATCTTGTTTTGATGTCCTTCAGAGGGGATCAAGCGTTAGTTAGGGGGGTCAAACCCCCCTGTAATTCACACCCTAGATATACTCCAAAAACATAGAGCATAAATCCGCAGATATTTTTACAACTAAAGGTTTTATAACGGGTATATAATACTAAATCACAGTTTACCGTAGTAAAACATTAGAGTGCCTATATTACGGTATTTATGACAATATATCAGTTCACTATTGTCAATACTACAGTATGCTGTAGCATTCATTAACAATAAGTTGTAAATACTGTAATACAGTGTAGTCACAATAGTATATGATTTTAAAACACTCTATAAACTACTGTATTTTTTCTGTAGGCAGTGATTTTGCAGATACTTTTATCACAAGTGGTTTATTAAAAGAATAAATAGTCGTTCTAGCCATGTATCAATCTTTGTAATTGAGGTAAAGCTGGTTTTCATATTTGCACATTCATTCAATGACAACTTGTGACATGCTCACTATATTCTTGACCATGGTACTTTGAATATTCGGTCTGAAATCACAAGCAAGTGTGATCTGAAAACAACATTATCACTAGTTTAATTGACTGAGAACAATATGTAGTACTCTAATTGCTGCTAATATGATTAATGATGATAGAATACTTTTCTGAAAATATATTATTAAGGTGAAAGAGAATATAAAAACCAACTTAACCCCAACATCATTGTTTATATCTCAAAATCTACAAGAAAGCTTAATAAATGTATTCTCTTTGTCTGGAATCTTGACTTTGGGGTCCCAACAAATCCCCAAAATGGACTCAACAACAGGCCACCATCACAGTGTTTGTCAATAACATCCACATTTGATGAATTAGTTTAGAAATGTACTAAAAAGTACACAACATTTAAACTCAGTAAACAAGAAAGCAGAATATTAAAACAGAAAGTGAGCGCGCGCACAAACGGTTTACCAATGGGCGGGACGAGCTGCATCCACTTGTAAACAAAGACATGGAAAGTTTTGACAGAAATTACCTTTGAGAACAGAAACCCAGCCTCTGTCATTGGAGTCCGCTGTATATATGTGCAAAAAACCGTTCATCCATGTCTGCAAAACAAGCGAAATCCTTATAACGACAACAAAAATCAGTTTTAGGAAATGTTCCAGCAGCGAAATCTGAACAATGCGATAAAACACTGTTGTTAAAGTTGCTTAGCACCACTGTTGTACTGAATGTCGAGTTTTATTCACCTTTGAAGGATGTAGGAAAAGAAAAGTCCGTCAAAGTGACCCGCTAATATCTGTTTTTGCACCAGAGACTCTCTGCTCGCATATTTGAGCCTACGCTGACTGGGAGCACCGCCCATTTATGTGACATGAGGAGCTGCTAGCCCCGCCCACACACTCGTCACCCACGTACTGATCTGTGTCAGTGGGTCGAACATACGGGTTCTGTTCTGTAAAATGGTTGATTTGAGGTTGATTTTACCTCAAGATCTTCTATTATTATTCTTAATAATATGTGGGTTGTAGTTTTTTAGAGACATGGAATCTGCACGCACATGCTGTGAATAAGAGGTGGAATCGAGGAATCGTTTTTTGAATGCACAAATGATTTGGTATGATGTTGAATATCTTATATTTAAACACACACTATTAAAAATCCGTTTTTAGTTAAGATATATATATATATTTATGTACAATAATAACAACAATAATAATAATAATAATAATTAATAATGATGATGATGATGATGATGATGATGATGATAATATCAATGAAAATAAAACTTTGGAGCAAAAGTTGCTAATGAATTTAAAGATTAACGGGAAATACCATTTATATAACATTTATTTGCTTAATATTTATCTTAAACAATGTATTGACACCGTAAAATATTTAAAAAATAAAAAGGCTATAAGGTTATATGAAATCATTTTCTTGTGTGAATTTCTTGGAATGTATCCCCAGTAAGTTATTTATTTATTTATCTATCAATTTATTTATTTATTTATTTATTTTTGTAGTCATTGGTTTCTTTAATACTAATGTAAAAACTGTAAGTACTGTATTCCTCTATTTTTTCATGTTATTGTTTTTGTTTTGCAAAAAAAAAAAAAAGTAGATTGTATCATATGGGACAAAACAGAAATTCAGTATTTTATGAGCAATTCATTTACGCAATGGTGTCCAATTTCCCCTTTTCTTATTCAATCTAGCTGTTGAAATAATTACTATTTTGATTAAAAAGATTACTAGTTATGATAAACTAAAACTTCCATTATTGACAATTATTTTACGGACAATATTTGAGTTATTTAAGAAACCTAATTTGAACATACGTGAAATTAATATACTTGATAAACAATAAAATTATGTTATTCGACAATATATAAATAAATATACATATATTGGCAGTAACAAAATTTTTGATATATATATTTTTAAACATATCTATGTAGTTTGAAGTTATAATATAAGAGGTCACTATAGTAACTTGATCAATTCTGGATAAACATTTGTAAATTGTATTTAATTGGCAGCTCTTGAGATTTATTTGTTTATCTGATTGTCTTTGTCTTTGTTGTTTTTACTATTTGAAAGTTCTTAATGAATATAGAAAAATATATATGAGTATAAAAATATATATATTACTAAATTGTACCTTAAATATATCTAATGAACAAAAATCTTTTGAACAAAAGCCTATACAAATAGCCTAAGAGCAATAAATACACTTCATATACTGCTTTTTATTTTAAATGAAGATATGATTTTTATTTCTTCCGGGACTTTTAATAATAGGGGTGTCACACCAAAACTTAACAATAGTGGTTCCAAATAAGCTATAAGTGATAAAGTCTGAAACTATCACGGCAGGCATCAGTCAAATTAGCATATTCAGCCTAAATGTATAATTTAAAATTTGCATATAGTACCACAACAGAGGACATGGTTTTCACTGACAAAATATATCAGGTTTCTAGCAAGGTCAACTGTCCTTCTTTAATAATTCTCCAAATGACAATATTTTTGGGTTTGAAATGTCAAAGAAACATTATCACATGATTTTTTAAAAATAAAATAAAACAAACAGGCCTATTAACTGTATACAACTGTATTTCAAACTGAAATAATTTAGCTTACTGTGTCTGGAGATGACATTTATGTATGCACTTGCAGTGAAAGCACACTTGACACCTTTAATCGTGTGTCTGCTGACATCTACTGGACATTTACACTCATTTGAGTTCATTTCTTGAGTTTGTAAAGGATCATAAATTTCTTCTGTAGATCCAAAAATGACATTAAATGATAAACAAAACAGTCAATCCTTTAAAAAGTTAACATTTATTAAAGTTTTTTGGCAGCGAATAGTGATGCATTTAGTCTCATATAGTTCATCTTTGATTAAACTAAAAGTTTGTTTGGAGTTCAACAGAAGAAAGAAACTCAAAAGTAAAGAACCACTTGAGTGTAAATGTTAATTTCGTGTGTAATGTTTCTTTAACTGGTGCGAATGAATACTCGTCTTCTATTGGCTGATGGACGCAGTGACGGAGAGCTGCAGTTTGACATCCCTCATTTAACCGGAGAGGATAAAACTGGCACAAACTCACACCATGGCATCAGAAAAACGTATGTAACCTTCATATATTCAGTTTGTTTGCTTTGTCTGAGGATTTAGTGTCGCAATAGCGATGTCGAATGTCTCTGTTACTTTATATTTAAAAAGATTTGAAGACTCACCAACTGCTCTTTAACGAATTCAAACGGTCGTCTCGTCTTGTGTATTAATAAACACGCCAAATGTCTGACTTCTCATTGTACAACAAAACATTGATTAACTCAGTTACACAGTGACTATGACACATGTTCACCTTTGTATTTATTAACATATAAAATATAGGTAATGTCATATTTTACCAGTCAAAAGTTTGAAAACAGTGAGATTTGTTGTCGATGTTTTTTAAAAAAGCCTTATGTAATTTCAATTAAATTACATATATGTGATTCAAAGGTAAAATTTCACCGTCATTACTGATAATAAATCATCATTACTCTATCATCACTCCAGTCTTACTACAATTAATTACTTACTCCATCATTAATCTACTCATTATAATATGGAGATTTGTTGTTTTATGTTTTATCAGTTATTATTGGTAAATAATCAATAATAATTAGTTTTACGATTATTACTGCTAAAAAGATTTTATTTTCTTGCTTCATGCAATCATGGAAACTTATAGACATTTTAGGATTCTTTTATTTAAAAAAAATAATTATTTGAATTTTCTTACATTAAAAGTGGCTCTCTAATGAATAAAATTGAAATGTATTCTGTGTGTGATAGAGGTACAGTTTGTTTTATATTCACACATTCAGACTTTCCCCTTAATAATATAATTCCTTTAAAGTATTATTTGCAAACTCCAAACAGTGAAATCATATTAGCAGCCAATGACTATAAAAAGTACAACATTATTCACAGTATAAATAAATAGTGTTTTCAAGTCATATTTGCATGCTAATTCCGATCGAATATTCAAAATAACATGGTAAATAATATAGAGACTTCTAAATGAATGAATGTGCGAATATAAAACCAACTTTACCTCTATCTCTGTGTGTGTGTGTGTGTGTTAATTAATGAATAAAAAATACATACTAGGCACACTAAAACAAATGTTTGTTGTTTGTTCAAACTTATTTAAAATAAGTTGAAACAACATAATTCTTGAGTTTTTTGGGGGGAAAATTTAATTGTTTTATGTTTGATCCACGTAAATTTGTAAAAAAAAAAAAAAAAAAAAACAATACATTAACTTAATTCTTCATGTTGTCCCTACACAAATTGATCAGCATTTTTTACAGTGTATATAGTGCTGTATATTGTAGCATTTGAAATAAAGTAACACTAAAGAACCATTACAGGCACTACATAGGTACTATAGAGTGTTTCTATTTAGGACCATGTTTTTAATTTTTTTATTTTTATAGTGTATTTTATACATGCAAATAGTCTGTAACCTAAATAAAAAGAAATAAAGTAAAATTTTAAATAAATTAAAATTAAAAACATACAATTCAAATAAAATAAAAAAACATGAAATAAAAATTTAATTAATAATGTTTTTTAAAATAAAATCAATAAAAATTAAAAAACACAAAATTAAAATAAAATATAATTAAATAAAAATAAAACATTTATTAGTTAATCAAATAAAAATTAAAATTTAAAATTAAATAATATTAAATATATATTTTTTTATTTAAAATGTAAGAAAATTATTAATTCAATTAAAATTAAAAATAAAAAAATATATAAAATCATTAAAACACAAAATTAAATTGTTATTAAGTTAAATTAAAAAAAATAACTAAAGAAACATTTTATTTAAATTTAAAATAAAAATTAATTCATAAATTTTTCTTCAGCTTAGTCCCTTTATTAATCAGGGGTCGCCACAGCCGGAATGAACCGCCAACTTATCCAGCATATGTTTTATGCAGCGGATGCAACCCATTACTGGGAAACACCCATACACACTCATTCACACACATACTCTGTGGACAGTTTAGCTCACCCAATTCACCTATAGAACATGCAAACTTCATGTTTTAATAAATAAAAATAAATAATAATTTAAAACACAAAATTAAAATTAAATTAAATGAATAATACATTAAACAAAAAATTTAGATAAATGTAAAATTAAAAATTAAAAAACAAAAATTTCATTAAATATAAATGTTAATAAAAAAACACAATTTAAAATAAAATTAAATAAAAAATGCATTTGTTAATTAAAAATTAAGAATTGTAATTAATAAAAAAAACTGATTTAAAAAGTTAAAATGTAAATCTGTACCTCTGTTTGTGCTTTGTGAAACAGTCTACTTTAAACTAAATCTGTGTGACAAACAGTGTAGATTGTGAGGTTGTGTGCTGGTTTTGCAGTTTGTGTGTTCATGAGGGCGACATGAACATGAGCGACAGAAAAAAACACGTTAAAACATCTGAAAACACACGAAAGGACAGTTTGTTCTCTCTGCGGGTCATCTTCCTGGACGACAGCGAGCATGTTTTTCAGATGGAGGTGAGACAATCCTTTATAAATATACTATTTCACCGTAAACATGTTTTAAAAAAGCACACGCGATATAGCTTCTTATTTTAAGCCATTTATGCTGAGGGGCATGTATTGCATTTTTTAAGAGGTACACGGGACAATGAGTCTGTTGAGTGGACCGGCTAGTTTGGCTTAAGGGTTTGTGAAAGAAAATGCATGTCAGCATCCCAATTTGTCTGTGCACGCTTGAGTGTCTGACCAAAAGGCCTTGCATATTGTGCTGTATTAGCAATATTAAAGAGGAAATCTTCTAAACAGGGGTGTGCTAACAAACATCCCACAAACGTGGACCCTGCAAAGATGGTTGATTACACTTTTATTTTACTACACTGTAAAAAAAACTGGGTTCAACATAATCAATTTATGTTGGGACAACATGAAATCAAGTTAGCTTATTAGTCTTGATCAATTTAAATGGATTGAACATAAAACTATTAAGTTGTGCCCAAAATAATTGTGCTTTTTCAGCTCATTTTAAATAAGTAGTTTGAACAAACGGCAAATATTATTATTTTTGTGCAAAATAAAAGAATAGTTCACCAAAAAAAGTCAATTCTAGCAAACTTTTATGGATTTTTGTTCTTCTGTTGAACTATAAAACTAAATATTTTGAAGAATTTCTATATATTTTTCCAGCATTCTACAAAAAATTAATAATTAAGTTAATAATGACAGAATTATTTTACATTATTTACTTTAAGAACCTCTAATACTTACAGACGAGTCTATAATGATGTTTTCATTAAATATAATGTATATATATTTCATTTTTTATAATATGTCTATAATATTTAGCCGCACCATGTTGGTGTTTTCATTCATTCATTTTCTTGTCGGCTTAGTCCCTTTATTAATCCGGGGTCGCCACAGCGGAATGAACCGCCAACTTATCCAGCAAGTTTTTACACAGCGGATGCCCTTCCAGCCACATCCACACACACACTCACACACACACTCATACACTACAGACAATTTAGCATGTGTTTGGACTGTGGGGGAAACCCACGCGAACGCAGGGAGAACATGCAAACTTCACACAGAAACGCCAACTGAGCCGAGGCTCGAACCAGCGACCTTCTTGCTGTGAGGCGACAGCACTACCTACTGCGCCACTGCCTCGCCCATGTTGGGGTTTTGTAACATTTAATTTTAACGAGGTGGGTCATAAGCCTAACACTCAACCTGGAGGACACACACACACATACACTACGAACAATTTAGCTTACCCAATTCACCTATTCCACATGTTTTTGGACTTGTGAGAGAAACCAGAGCACCCGGAAGAAACCCACCTCACCATGGGGAGAACATGCAAACTCCACATAGAACCAGCAACCTTCTTGCTGTGAGGCGACAGGGCTACCCACTGCGCCACTGTGCCACCCCATATAATATACAGTTGAAGTCAGAATTATTAGCCCCCCTGTTTATTTTTTCCCCAATTTCTGTTTAACGGAGAGCAGAACACATTTTTTTAAACATAATAGTTTTAATAACTCATCACTAATAACTGATTTCTTTTATCTTTGCCATGATGACAGTAAATGATATTTTACCAGATATTTTTAAGACACTTCTACACACTTAAAGGCTTAACTAGGTTAATTAGGTTAACTAGGCCGGTTAGGGTAATTAGGCAAGTTATTGTATAACGATGGTTTGTTCTGTAGACTATCGGAATAAAAAAATAGCTTAAAGGGGCTAATAATTTTGTCCCTAAAATGGTGTTTAAAAATTAAAAACTGCTTTTATTCTAGGCAAAATAAAACCAGCAACAATCAAGAATGCATGATTATATGCTGTCATGGATTTGCAATGAAATAATGTCAGTGGAAGTCAATGGGGGACAAAAAAAGCCCCTAACAGAATGAAAGGGGAGTCAGTCTGAACAGCAAACAACTGACTTTCAGTGTCTGGAAAAAGAGCTTGTAAAAGTCCAGAAATTCATTGTTTTTATAATATAAAACCATTGATGTTTTTAATGAATTGATGTATTTTAAGCAAAGGGTTCTGGGAAAGGATTTCTTCAACTCAGTTTGTGGACACCTTAAACTGGTGGAAAAGGAATACTTCGGCCTTGAGTTTCGACATCATTGTGGGAGTTATGTGAGTGGTCGCTTATATTAAAGATGCCTTTGCTTTGTTAATAAGACATAAGACATTACACAGCGGGCAAAATATGTTGAACATGTCACCTTTTTTATTTCAGAAAACATCTCTAAAGGTGCTGTTGACTTTCACGTTTTTACTGGATGTTGAGAGCAACCAAAGAAATCCATCTATGCAGAGAAAACAAATCTAATTAGTTTACAAATGAAGTTCTGTGTAATAAAATGAAATGACACCGTGGGAAAAGTATTGAACACATGAAGAAAGGGAGGTGTAAAAAGGCAGTGAAAGCCCAGACAGCAGCTGAAATCTCTCAGTAGTTCTTCGTCAACCCTCTGGCCTTTCTCAGTGTAAATGAACATCAGCTGCTTCAGTCCAACATCTACATTAGCAGGAGGATGAAGATGAAACCAGAGTGGACATTTCAGCAAGACAATGATCCAAAACACTGCAAAGGAGACTCTCAGACTTTCAGAGAAAGAAAATCAAGCTGTAGAATGGCCCAACCAATCACCTTATGCGAATCCAATAGAGAATACAAAATAAAGATCAGATTTGACAGACAAGATTCACAGAACCATCAAGATTTTTACATTTTCACACCTGAGCAATGCGTGTGACTTCATTCTCCATATTAGAGGCGTCTTTAAGCTGCAGACACCAAAAACACCTTTAATATAAAGTATTAAACACATTCAGTAGTTCAGTGCTTTCTCCTTCTGTCATTTCATTGTTATTATACACACCTCATTTCTCAGATTTAGTTTTGATGTTTGTGTTGTTTAAATTCTTACCAAAATCTAGTTTAATTCCACGCCAACAGCCCCTTTAGAAATGTTGTTCCTAGGAAAAAACATCACATGTTCAATCCTAATTTTTCTCTACTGTATATAAACCTGTGATGGTAATATTGACTGACCTGAGGATGTCATTTGTGTTCATCGTCTTCATAGGTTTGGCTGGAACTGCTTAAGCCTCTTGCAAAACAAATTAAAAGTAAGTCTGCAACTTACTATTCCAGCAGATGTTCTAGGAGCAGATGCCATTACAGCCGCAATCCAGTACTGGGAAACACCCATACACTCTCACATGCACACACACACTCATACACTACGGCCAATCTAGATAATCTAATTCACCTATAGCGTTGGTGTTTTGACTGTGGGGGAAAACCGGAGCACCCGGAGGAAATGCATGCCAACACAGGGAGAACATATATTTATATATATATATATATATATATATATATATATATATATATATATATATATATATATATATATATATATATATATATATATATATTTGTATATATACATTAACACAAACACATCATGCACGGTTTTTATTATTAAGAGAAAACATGGCACTAAAATCAAATACTGTAAAATCGATGGCTTCCAACATTCCTTTTTGCCACTGCTTTATAGGACAAGATTACAAATGAGGCTGGTGAAAAACAAATCTGATCTTCTCTCCTTAAAACAGGAAGAAATGATCTGATCTTCCGCTTCATAGTGAAGTTTTTCCCTCCAGATCCAGGAGAACTACAGAGAGAAGTGACCAGGTGCAGCACACACACACACACACACACACACACACACACACACACACACACACACACACACACACACACACACACACACACACACACACACACACACACACACACACACACACACACACACACACACAAACTGCAGCATATACACTCAACAGCCACTTTATTAGGTACTAGTACCAGGTTGCCCCCAGAACTGCCTTAGAAAATCCCAGTAGATCAGCAGTTTCTGAAATACTCAGAGCAGCCTGTCTGGCAGCAACAACCATGCCACGTTCAAAGTCACTTAAATCCCCTTTCTTCCCCATTCTGATGCTTAACGTAATATAGCATTTTTTTCCATTGAATAATGCATATTGTTCAATCATCGGCAGAGATGGGGGACTCGAGTCACATGACTTGACTCAAGTCAGACTTAAGTTGCAAAATTTAGGACTTGAGACTTGCTTGACAAATATCCAAAAAAGACTCAACTTGACTTGGACTTGACTGTCATGACTTGAGACTTGATTTGGACTTGAGTTAAATTACTCGAAATAACTTGTTTTTGTTAAATAAATAACTGTTTGTTACAGATTATGCATTAGATATTAAACCGAAAGTTATATATGTACATATAAATTGCAAAAAGAAATGGCAAAAGTTCAAAAATCGACAAAAATTTGATTGATTTGAAAGTGACTTGGTAGACCAAGCTACTGTATGACTCGACTCGACTTGAGTCAGACAAAAATTGACTTGACTTGCTTGAGACTTAATCCCACCTCTGATCATTGGTATACACCGTCATAAAAAATAATAAATACATAAATTATACAGTTGTTAATATATATATATATATATATATATATATATATATATATATATATATATATATATATATATTTATACAGTTGAAGTCAGAATTATTAGCCCCCTTCAAATTATTTTCTTCTTTTTTAAATGTTTTCCAAATGATGTTTAACAGAGCAAGGAAATGTTCACAGTAAGTCTGATAATATTTTTTCTTCTGGAGAAAGTCTTATTTGTTTTATTTCGGCTAGAATAAAAGCAGTTTTTAATTTTTTAAACACTATTTTAGGGACAAAATTATTAGCCCCTTTAAGCTATATTTTTTCTCGATAGTCTACAGAACAAACCATCGTTACAATAACTTGCCTAATTACCCTAACCTGCCTAGTTAACCTAATTAACCTAGTTAAGCCTTTAAATGTCACTTTAAGCTGTATAGAAGTGTCTTGAAGAATATCTAGTCAAATATTATTTACTGTCATCATGGCAAAGATAAAGTAAATCAGTTATTAGAGATGAGTTATTAAAACTATTATGATTAGAAATGTGTTGAAGAAAATCTGCTCTCTGTTAAACAGAAATTGGGGAAAAAATAAACAAGCGGGCTAATAATTCTGACTTCAACTGTGTATATATATAATGTATATACAGTTGAAGGCAAAGTGATTAGCCTTCCTGTGAGGGGTGTGATATTTATTCTTTTATAAATATTTCTCATGTTATATTTACAGAGCAAGGAATTTTTCACAGTATTTCTTATACATATATATATATATATATATATATATATATATATATATATATATATATATATATATATATATATATATATATTATATAGAGAGAGAGAATGTCTTATTTGTTTTATTTTGGCTAGATAAAAAGCAGTTTTTAAATATTTTAAAACATTTTAGGATCAATATTATTAGCTCTCTTAAGCAATGATTTTTTTAGATTGTCTTCAGAACAAACCATTGTGATACAATAGCTTGCCTAATTACCCTAGTTAAGCCTTATTGGGGAAAATATAAAATAATTAAAATTTAACAGGGCTAATAGGACTTCATTTGTATACCAAATCAAATATATTACATCGTATGATATTACATTTGCCATGGGAAATTTCCTAATTTGTTTTCTAATATTTAAATAACATGAAAGTGTTGCTTTAAATCATGTTAATTAATCCAGTATAATTTTGTACATTTTTTAATGAACTTACTATTACAGTAAAAACACGATCCCATTTATAACACACTAGAGTTCAATGCTGAAAACACAAGTTGACCTGAGGCTGCCTTTGCCTTGATTTGCTCACCAATGTCTTGTCATGTGACATTTTTTACATTTTGAAAGTTTCATTTACAACATTTAATTAAAACTTTTTATGTTTTTACATATTGTTTTGTAGCAATAAAACAAAGAAACAAAGGGTTGCGTTCAAATCAAAATAACAATCTCTATCTATAGCATTCGCCCCAACCACATCCTCATCATTCTTCCTCTTTTCAGATAGGATGGTGGGGCAAATCAAAGGGTACCGTTGGCCAACTTTGGCCCGCTGGCCCTACTTTGAGCATCTCTGATCTCAGTGTTGGTCTGCGTTCTCCGTCTCCCGCAGGTATCTGTTTGCGCTGCAGATTAAACAGGATTTGTCCAATGGCAGTCTGACCTGCAGTGATAACAGTGCTGCTCTGCTGGTTTCCTATCTTCTTCAGGGTATGTGCAGTTTCCTTAGTCTGTGTGTGTGTGTGATTCTGCAGCACAGAAGGTGTTACCACGGAATGTCCCCACAATTCACAAAAACAAATGTGTGTGTGTTTCTGCAGCAGAGATTGGGGACTTTATAGAAGAGCTGGACAAGCAGCATTTGGAAAACAAGCGGTACATCCCAAACCAGGACGTCCTCCACAAAAAGATCATGCGTTTCCATAAGAGGCACAGGTAAGCTTAGTTATGCAGTTATCAGCTGTTTTTTGAGCTTACACACACATGAAGGATCGCTCTAGCAGTCTAGATAAAGAAATCATCTTCATGTTCATAATGTAAAAGGGGTTAGGTGCATGTGTGACCCGCTTTACACGCGTCATATTATCGCAACACACACATTCAGCCTATTCGAACAAGGCTACATTCGTTGTTTCGATTACTAAAATGTGAAATTTTACCGTGATTTTTCTAATGTTATTATGCTTTGTTGACTTTTGATGTTGAAAATTCAACTCAAGTGACTTTTGACATTTTAGTCGTTATAAACATATAATATATAATAAATAATATATAGAGAAATAAGTCTGTAAATAAGAGAAAATGTATTTGCAGTCTATTACAAGGACTTTGCAGCGTAATTTACAACACCGACCCAGACAATATAGCACTTTAAACTATTAAAAATGTTAACAAGAGTAATGTTTTCGAAATTTTCAAGATGAAAAGAAAGAAAGAGGTCCCATAATGCAATTCAAAAGAATAAAAAATGGGGGAAAATGTATATTTTTTACATAAAGTTGAAGTCTGAATTGTTAGCCCCCCTGAATTATTAGCCCCCGTTTATTTTTCCCCCAGTTTTCTGTTTAACAGAGAGATGTTTTCAACACGTTTCTAATTATAATAGTTTTAATAACTCATTTCTAATAACTGATTTATTTTATCTTCGCCATGATGACAGTAAAAATTATTAGACTAGATATTCTTCAAGACACTTCTGTACAGCTTAAAGTGACATTTAAAGGCTTAACTAGGTTAATTAGGTTAACTAGGCAGATTAGGGTAATTAGGCAAGTTATTGTATAATGATGGTTTGTTCTGTAGGCTATCGGAACAAAAATTAGCCTAAAGGGGGTCATAATTTTGTCCGTAAAATGGTGTTTAAAAAATTAAAAACTGCTTTTATTCTAGTCAAAATAAAACAAATAAGACTTTCTCCAGAAGAAAAAATATTATCAGACATACTGTAAAAATGTCTTTGCTCTATTTAACATAATTTGCGAAATATAAAAAAAAAAGAGGGAAAAAATCAATGGGGGGGCTAATAATTCTGACTTCAACTGTATATATGTATATTTTTTTACAGTGTGTGTTTGGTTTTGTTCATGTTTCAGAGGTCAGTCTCCAGCCGAAGCGGACCATCAGCTGCTGGAGGTGTCCCGTAAGCTAGACATGTACGGCATCCGGCCTCACGCCGCCACTGATGGAGAAAACATGAGGATCAATCTGGCCGTCACTCACTGTGGCGTGCTGGTTTTTCAGGTGCAGACTATGTGTTATACTTTATGGCTTATAATGTTACATTTTAACCATTATTAAACGGCTGTCTGGAATACTTGATTCTGATTGGTCGGTTGTGACATTCCAGGGAATTTTAACTCCTAGATAACAACCGCTAAATAACACCGGTTAATCTGGAAACTTTGAATCATCTTGACCATCAGTAATTAGGTTTATATTCATATACTTACTGTACATCCACATTCATATAGATCTGCTTGTCTGTCGCCATGTTTTTTTTTACTCTTTTTTTTTTGGCGCCATCAGGTTAGTGTATACTCCATCAGCTGTTTTAGCTTCTGTCAGCTTTGTGTTTCTGACTGAGTCATCTGAACTCTTCATACATTTTTCATCATTCTTCATAACCTAATCTTTATTAGCAGTCTAAATGTCTAAAGTGCTGGTAATCTGTACCAGCAATTATGGCTGCACAATATACATTTCAGCGTCGTATACAACAGAGCTACACGCCATTCTGCATTAACATCCTCCTGTATGTACTTTATCCCTATAACTTAACAACGATCTGTTGTATTTGTATTTTAAGGGAAACACCAAAATAAATACGTTCAGCTGGGCCAATGTGCGCAAACTCAGCTTCAAGAGAAAGCACTTTCTGATAAAGCTGCACACAACTATTGTGGTAAATATTTCACACTCATTCAAGGAGCACTGCTGACAATGTCCTGTTGAATTTACTGTCAATCAAACCTCCGCTAAAGTACTGTATTAATATTTACAAAACCATTTAGCATGCTCTAACTACATTAGTACACTTTTACTGAAAAATAAATGTAACATTTTGTTGTGCTGTATGATAGTTATTCAGTACACTACCTGACAAAAGTCTTGTCGCCTGTCCAAGTTTTAGGAACAACAAATAATAGCTTGACTTCTGGTCAGATCTGGCTTATATGAGAGGCAAAGGCCTCTAGATTACACTTATTTGAGCACAATAAAATATGATCATGCCTTGATTTTTAATTATGTAATTAGGACAGTGCGGTCTGACTCTGCTTAAACAAAAGTCTCATCACTGAACAGAAATAATGTCCAGTATAGAATATAAAGTCCTGCTGCAGTGGAGACAGAATGAATATTGTGTCTGACTCCATCATGAGCTTGGAGGACTGCATCCATACATCTCTGACATGACTCAAATCACTGATTAATAAAGTCATCTGGAATGAAGAAGAAAGCCGTGCAGGACTCCCAGAGTTCATCAAGAGTCTTTGTCATTCTTCATCTTCAACGTCTCCTCCTTCATATTACCCAAGACATGCTCAATAATGTTCAAGTCTGGTGACTGGGCTGGCCAATCCTGGAGCAGCTTGACCTTCTTTGCTTTCAGGAGCTTTGATGTGGAGGCTGAAGTATGAGCAGGAGCGCTATCCTGCTGGAGAATTGTCCCTCTCCTGTGGTTTGTAATGTAATGGGCAGCACAAATGTCTTGATACCTCAGGCTGCTGATGTTGCCATCCACTCTGCAGATCTCTTACACGCACCCCATACTGAATGTACCCCCAAACCATGATTTCTCCTTCACCAAACTTGACTGATTTCAGTGAGAATCTTGGCTCCATGCTGGTTCCAGTAGGTCTTCTGCAGTGTTTGTGATGATTGGGATGCAGATCAACACATGATTCATTAGAAAAATCCACCTTTTCCAAATGATCAACTAGAAGTCAAGATATTATTAGTTGCCGCTTATAACTGAGACCAATGACAAGGCGTTTGTCAGGTAGTGTAGGTTACTGTACTTAATTTGCATTGTGAGGGATAAGATCTTGGCATTATTAAAATGCTGTTTAGGATATATTTAATATTTATTTTTGAATCCTCATTAAATAACTTGCAATTAGATGCTAGTTTCTCGATTTACTGTACGTTCATTATTTACTGTCTACATCTCCAATCAACTGTATTTTCTTTGATTTTCGCTCACTTTTTTATTTTGTTTACTGTATTTTGATTCACAGCCAATTAAAAACAACCCTATTTTTAATTAAATATTTCCTCACAATGCCAATTTTAAACTATCATACACTAAAATACAACTCATATTACATTTAAATGCAGTCTAATTTACACACATTGTTAATAGTGAGTCTATAAAATATCCACCCATGCTGTTGGTGTGGCATTGGGAGCCAATTGAAACTGATTTTGTGTCGTCATGTCTGCTCAGGCGTCCTGTAAGGACACGGTAGAGTTCACCATGGCCAATCGGGACGTTTGTAAAGCCTTCTGGAAGATGTGTGTGGAGTATCATACCTTCTTCCGGCTTTCTCAAGAACCGAAGAGCAAGCAAAAATCACTCCTTTACAGCAGGGGATCTTGCTTTAGATACAGGTACATCCTGTTAAAACACATTACAAGTCTGTGGAGTATCACTGTATAATGGAACGGTGTGTTACGTTTAACATGATGTAAATGGAAAGGGCAGTGTGGAAAATGAATGTCAACTCAACAAAACAATGTGTATATTCAGATTATATGAGTTATTTCTGATTTGCAGGTACATTTCAAGCATTTTCACAGTCATTTTCCCTACTGGATTGGCATGAAACAAATGTATAACATAATCAACTGTTAATGTAAAATAATCCAAAATGTTAACGTGATGGGGAACATTTGATTACTTAATTGTTGTTTAAAGTTCATCTACAGAAATAAGTTAATAAATTAATATTTTCGTGACAAAACAACCCTAAATATACACAAAAATATAATATTTTTAGAGATAAGTTGATATAATTAAAATAAAATTTTCTTTTTTTATTTTAAGAAAATAATGTTTATTTTAAAAAAAAACAGACATTTTCAGGACAAAATATCCTGAAACGCACACAACATATTATATTTTTAGAGATAAGTGGATATAATTTTAATAAAGTTGTATTATTTTCTGGGAAAATTCTATGTTTATTTATAAAAATGGGTATAGTAGAAGTCTTTAAATTGATATTTCAGCACAAAATGTCCCTAAATACACACAAAACTATTATATTTTTAGAGATAAGTGGATATAATTTTAATAAAGTTGTAGTTTTTTTTTTGAGAAATAATTGTTATTTACAAAAACAGATATTTTCAGGACAAAATATCCCTAAATACACAAAAAATATATATTTTTCAAGATAAGTTGATTTACTTCCAATAAAATGTTAGTTTTTTTTTTTTTGAGAAAATATTGTTTGTTTAAAAAAGAAAAAAAAAACATTTTTAGAACCAAATATCCTGAAATACACACAAAATATTATATTTTAGAGATAAGTGGATATAAATTCCAATAAAATTTTTAGAGAAAATTGTTTGTTTACAAAAACAGATATTTTCAGCACCAAATGTCCTTAAATACACACAAAATATATTTTTAGAGATAAGTGGATATAATTTTAATACAGTTGTAGTTTTTTTTTGTTGAGTAAATTATGTTTATTTAAAAAAAAACAGATAATTTTTAAAACAAAATATCCCTAAACATACACAAATTATTATTTTTTGAGAGATAAGTTGTATTTTTTCTGAGAAAATTATGTTTATTTACAAAAATGGGTATAATAGCTTTTAAAAGCCTTTAAGTTGATATTTCAGCACAAAATGTCCCTTTAATACACACAAAATATTATATTTTTAGAGATAAGCTGATATAATTTTAATAAAGTTGTAGTTTTTTTTTTTTTTGAGAAAATGTTTATTTACAAAAATGGATATTTTCAGGAAAAAATATCCCTAAATAAACACAAATTATTATATTTTTAGAAATAACTTGATATAATTCCAATTTTTTTTTAGTAAATCTGTCACTACACCATCCTTTGGGATTAAAAAGAAAAGTGTAAAGAAAACCCAAATACAAAAACATATCGACATTTTAGCAGCTTGAAATAATATATAGAAAAACAAGTCTGTAAAATGTGCTGGCAGCTTATTACAAGTTGTTTGTAGCGTAATATACAACAACCCAGACAATATATTAGTTTAATCTATTAAACATGTTCACAAAAGCCACTTTTTCAAACATGTTAATCTTAAAAGCTGTTGTGGGAAAGATCAAGCTCCCATAATGCAAAGATATAAAAAATAACCCATTACCCAATCTGTCTCCAACAGTGGAAGAACTCAAAAGCAGCTGCTGGACTTTACAAAGAAATCGGAGGAGAAGATCAACTTACCATTTATGAGGTGCGAGAATCAGTCTCAAAACTTCTTGAATCTTGAAGTGTGATCAGAATAATGAGCTGTTCTGTTCCCTTCAGGAAGTACTGTAAAGACTACTACGACACACGGCAGTGCAGATCCTCACCTGACCTGCTGACCGATGTCTCCAAGCAGGTACATGCTGCATATCTGTACACATTTAGGGTTTACTCACAGTAGGTACAGTTGCCTTTATCCATGGTGAAGTGCCTCCCTCCTCTCTTCCCCGACGGCCTGCGCTCTCACATTCGAGTCGAGTTCTCATTAAAGGGTCCTGCTTTGATACCCGAAAATTCTCCTGGTCCATCTCCTCATGCTGCGCATTGTGTGTGTTGCAGGCGTACGAGCAGTCGTGTGGTTTTCCTCCGCCAAGCGGAAAGCGTTGTCAATCAGCCGTGGAAGTCCTCAACACATCTGAATTTCAGGATCCTCCATCTTCCCTTCAGCACTTCTACTCTGAAGCAACCCAAGCAAGTCCTGATGTACAGCGGGTGCACAGGCACGACCGGAGAGCCGGGTGCAGATGCTGCTGCGCTCCACAACACGGCCGTCTGAACAAACAAAATCTGGTGTTTCTTTACCCAAACCACCCTCACCCTGGCCTGCACCTCCATCCTTTCCTCCCTGTGTGTCCCATAAACGCAGCGTTCGCTCTGGGTCATCCCTGCGCTCCAGTCCTGCTGCCATGCCATTCGTTTTCACCGCCGGCATGCTTCCCAGATGATGCCACGCGCTCATATAGCTTCTCTGGATCTTCATACGTCTCTCCGAGCATTTTAAACTATCAGCGGTACTGTTGGCCCACAGCTTTCGGCCCAATGCCAGGGTTCTACGTAGCAGGCAGTTTCGAGGGCCACAGAGAAGATTTGGGCCACTTTAGTGACGACTGCAGCTACCAAACTGGTCTTCCTCGGCGTTCTTATAGCCAGTCTGATTTGAAGACTTTATGCCATCCGGATGAATTTCGCCCGCTGGGCCACTATCCGCATTTGTCTCGACGGCAGGGTCTTGTGCGGCCTACATATTTACCCCTGCGTTCATCATTACCGCCTGAAGGGAGTCGGTCAGAACTGAGCCACAGCGATTCGGATTCAGACGCTACATGTTCGTTTTACTGTCCAGGACTCGGCAGATTGGTGCGGTCTGCACCTCTGGCCCGCATGCGCATCTCCTCCGGAAGCTTACAGCTGGATGAAGAAGGAGATAGTAATGAAGACGCTGCGACAGCCAAAAGAGACAAACGCAAGTCCTGAGATGCGACTGAGAGATTTGGTCACAATCACTTCAGCATCGATATTGCAATGTGAACATCAGCAATAGACACATCACAGTTGAAACACTCAATTCAGAACACACCAAGTCTGTGGAGTTCAACTATAATAGAGCGAAATTTTATCTTCTGGATTTTTTTTAACAATTTCAATTTCTGGATTTTAAGCGTTTAGATCAGGGATGGGGAAACTTGATCCTCGAGGGTCGGTGTCCCTGCAGAGCTTTGCTCCAACACTAATCAAACACATGCCAAACGGTGTCTTTAAGATCACCAGAAGACCACCTTGTAGGTGTCCTACAAAATTTAGGAGCTAAACCAAGCGTCAACCTCCCGCTCTCCCTTGTGAAGCAAATATGAAAGTAACTGAAACTGCAGTTCTTCGAAATTCCACTAGTCCTGGCTCCATATAGAGCAAATTTCTATCGAGTCCACTGTTAAAATGGCCAACTTTACAGGATAAAAAACATGTTTACAGCCTGGTACAAAAAATTATTTTGGTGCATATAGCTAATATTAGACTTCATGACAACTGAGAGGGGGTGAATTTTTTAGAACTCATCCGCGTGGCCATTTACATGACAGCTAGGTCTCGCTGGTCACAATCACTTCACCTCAGCTGATTCCGGCTGATCAGCCGCTGAACTCGGCATATTCATCATATTTTTGTGTTGTTTTATGTGGCTTTACACAGTCTGTTGCCTTTTAGAATTATTTCATACAATTATCAGATAATGTGGAATGCTGTGTACACTTAATTGTGCTCACAAACCATTCGCGTGTCCTCCATTTCCCAGGTGAGTGAAATTATATCCTTATATACCATCATCAAATGTGATCAAGAATGAGTTTAAATGTTTAAAACGTTTCTTAAACAGTGCATGTTTCTAATGAATTACAGTGCTTTCCTTTATCAACACAATCTTTACTTCAACCAAACAATCCCGCTTAATGGATATCCATACAGCAGTGCATATCCTGTCATATTTGCCATGCAAAAACGCACAGTTAAACGCACATTGTCTGTCTGTGTGTGCTGGAACTTTAAATGGCATTGTGAACTTTATAACAACATTGTGTGCGACTCATCGATGCAAAAAGGCTTGAATAAACTCCACAAATACATCAAATAATCATTGGGACAGTCCTTTACTGTAGTATTTCTCACAAACTTTACGCGAGATCTGCTTCATGTCTGTCACTGTGCTGTTTATCTGACACAGTCGAGGCGGAGATTGAGGCACACAGGCATGTGGAAAAGGTGGGCAGGGAGAAACAGCATTAAAGGAAAAACAAAACAGCTGCAGTGTGTTCAGAGCAGAAAACCCCAATATTCTGAAAGGTATAATAAACTGATGGGAACTTTACACACATTCTGGAGACAAAAAAACGTACCTTAACAGAGTACCCGCTAGAGTTGGGGGATGTCGACCAATGTGGCATCGTACGATGTCTAATGTGAAACCTCGCGATGGACGATGGCGTCATCATCTTGTGAATTGGGGTGGGGGAGGTGTATGATAGTGCGCGCGACGTGTCTGAAGAGCGACGAGGGTTAGGGGGTTAGAAGGGAGCACAACTTATTTGAGGACCGGGAGGAAGACGCGCGATTTCCGGGAGATTATCACTCATTTGCGGGCATTATGAGTCCCGCAAATGCATAGAGACTCCAGGAACTTCCGGGAGACTATGATGTCTTAATATCACGTTTAACAACTATAGTGAGACGCAATCCAGCCGTACATCATTGATAAACTGTCGACATGTATTGCTCTCTGCCTGGAGCTCAGAGGAGCGCTTGACAGTGTGTGTCTGTGGTCACGTGACGTGCGTTTTCAGCGGACGGAGGGCTGTTCAGAAATGCTAGGTAAAACACGGTGTAGCTGTTGATCATTTTCGTTTTAAGATGCCATTTTAACACTAAGACGTATTCGAGTAAAAGGGGCCTGAGTTTGTATTTTTCGCGAGCGGGTTTGCAATGGGAGGATTGGTGATGTCGGCTCAGCATCGTGTTGTCTATTATTCAATCGGCGATGGAAGATGGCATCGTCTATCGGCCCAACCCTAGTACCAGCGGGGTCTTAAAAGCACTGAAAAAGTCTTACATTTAATAATCTCAAATTAAGGCCTTAATAGGCAAAGTCTTCATTTACCACAAAACATATTCATTTATAACAAAATTAAGTGTTACTAATGTAGGCTACTTAAAAACTCATGCAGCGTAACGTTGAGTGCACCTCGCGCTCCACATTATAGCAGAAAGCGCGAAAGCGTGTGCACCTGTTACTTTGGTTACTAGGCAAGAGAGGTACAGAACAAGATAGTCGCTAGCCTAGTTTGTCTGCTAAAATTGGAAAGTGTCGGTTTAATCCGCTTTGGCCAAGGAATCCGAATTATGTTTCGGTCAAGCCTGTGCCAGGAAATGACCGCGATACCTACTGCTGTTGGTGCCAAAAATCTTTTAAGCTAGTGACCATGGGTGTTACGGCCCTGGACTCCCATATGAGGGGGTGCCAAACACATCGCTTGTAGTACTGCTCGTCAGCGCCAACCACCTCTTCGGTTACTGAAACAGCTTTGGCTCTCAGTAATGAAGAAATTTCTACATTAGAAGCATCGCCACCACAGCCAAGGAACATCCTATCTTATTGTGGCTCAACACCAACTCTGTGGGTCCTTCTGTGGGTTTCTAAAACCTTGTTTCCCAACTCTGAGGTTGCAGTTACATTCTCGTGTGGAAGCAACAAAACTGCATATATTACTAAATGTGGATCGGCTCCTTTTATAACTAAAGAACTGACTGACCAGGTCAATAAGGCCAACGGGTTTGTGGTCGTGTTTGACCCTGAGTCTCAATAAGATGACGAGGGTGCTATCACACTAGCACTTTTGGTCTGCGCCCAGGTTCATAGTACTGTACGTTTAGCTTGTGTGAACGTGTCTTCTGAACTCGGGTGCGCACCTGTGAACCGTACCGAGTCCACCTGAAAGAGGTGGTCTGGGAAACTTGTGTGAACTCTGGTACGGTTCAATTCTGATGTGAATGCAATCGTACCAAATAACGGAAGTGAACCGCCAACTGAACAACAAACTTTCGTTTTTATAAGGTTGGTTCGTGTGTGTGTGTGTGTGTGTGTGTGTCAGGTTTCTCATAGCTTGGTGACAAGCGGGACTGAGCCACGGCAAACACAGTGATGCACAGTGATGTCTGCTTGTCTCCTCCAAAAACAGCTTCTGCAGACACTGTGTGATGTTCTGAATGTTTATAATATGTTTGCGGCATATGGACACGAGTCGCTTTCTGCATGTCCAAAACTAAAAGCTTCAGTAAAAGCAAATCGACTGGGATGTGCGGACGTCTTTCCATTTCGGCGCTTTTCTTCAGTGACTTAACATCGAGCAACAGCCAAATAATGGAAGTGAACCGCCAACAGTACAACAAACTATCGTTTTCATAACGTTCATTCGTGTGTCACGTAATGTACCTTGGTGACAAGCGGGACCGAGCCAGGGTAAACACAGTGATGCCTGCTTGTCTCCTTCAAAAACAGCTTTCCGCAGACACTGTGTGATGTTCTGAATGTTAATAATATGTTTGCGGCATATGGACGCGAGTCGCTTTCTGCATGTCCAAAACTAAAAGCTTCAGTAAAAGCAGATGGACCGCGATATGCTTACGTCTTTCCATTTCGGCGCTTTGCTTTCATGACTGTCACCTAGCAACAGCCGTGAACAAAACAGTAGCTCGATGATGCAAGCGTACCAGGGTTCAGAAGGAAAAAAGACAGTGTGAACACAAACCAACCGAGAAGGTGTTAAGGGGGGACAAACGAACTTGGGTACGGTCCAAGCAAATGAACCAAGTGTGAAAGCAGCTGAACCTTCATATTCACTACTATTATTTTCTAGTGTTCAAAATTTATACAGATTTGACATTTTCCCATCATACTTCTGTCAGAATGGGTACAAAGTTGTCACTGAATTTCATTTGAAATGGTATTAAAAAGGTCTTAAAAAGTCTTGAATTTAATTTGGAGGATCCTGGGGGTGCCCTGCTTAAATCTTGTTAACAGGTGCCCATTAAACAGTGTTCACAATAGTAAAACATGCAGCAAGTCTGAACTTGTGTCGTGAAAGAATACGTCAGTCACACTGAAATGTCATAACTTAAATCTTTATTTGCCACACCAAACAAAACTAATGTGTAACAGTTGAAGTCAAAAATAAAAAGAAGAAGAGAACAGCATCTATATGATACAGCCTACAAAGATTCTCAAATGTACAAAAGCTCTGGTGAAGAAATGTACAAAACCTAGCTCCTGCGCTTACGTTCCTATAAAGAAATATACAAATCTTCTACGAAAATCCCCCTTTTTATTGCTTTAAAATGATCCAGCAGTCTGGCAACATGCGTGAGACGTCGTTTTTAAAGCCGTTTTGCCATAGGGGTCACTTGATTCCTGGAGAGCCGCAGCTCTGCAGTTTTGCTCCAACCCTGATCAAACACAACAGATCCAACTAACTCATCTGTGTTTGATTAGTGTTGGAGCAAAACTGTGCAGAGCTGCGGCCCTACAGGAATCCAGTTTGACACCTAAGCATTTTGCGAAGACGACGCCGTCTTTACGAAGACAAACACACACAAAAAAAGTCAACTTTAGGCACAATGGGATGCAACGTTGGCACGGTTTCTCCAAGCCAACAGGAGCGAATATGACATCACCACCGCACCAGCAATGGCACCCTTACAAGCTTGGCGAAAATAAAAATCCCTCATCACAGGAGATTATATAAAACGTAAAACCAAAATAAACGATGTTCGCATTGAGCGCGACTTTCTATACTGCACTCGAATCACTTGCCGCCGTCGTTCGTGTGTGTGTGTGTGTGTGTGTGTGTGGTTAAAATGAAGCATACGATGCCTTGAGATCTACTCAAAGTAAGAGGAATGTGAATGGGAAATTAATTAAAAATAAAAGTCCCCATAAAAAAATGTGACTGGAAAATTAATTACAAATAAAACAAAAGTCCCCATAAAAAATCTGACTGGGAAATTAATTAAAAATTAAACAAAATAGAAGTCCCCGAAGAAAAATGTGATTGGGTGATTAAAAATGAAACAAGTCTCCGTAGAAATAGGTGACTGGAAAATTTATTAAAAATAAAACAAAAGTCCCTGTAGAAAAATGTGACATGAAAATTAAAAATAAAACAAAATAAAAGTCACTATAGAAAAATGTGATTGGATAATACATTAAAAATAAAAGTCCCCATAGAAAAATGTGACAGCAAAATTAACTAAAATAAAACAAAATAAAAATCCCCATAGAAAAATATGTTATATGTTTGGGTAATTAATTTCAAAACAAAATAAAAGTCTCACCCTCATAGAAAAAGTGTGCGCAAGTGCATATTTCCTTCAAAACAAAAATACAGTATTCTACTCTAGTATAAAAATATTAGCACACTGTAAAAGAGGGCACTACTTATAATAAATGATGGGCAATTATTCTTAGATAACAGTCCTGTATATATATATATATATATATATATATATATATATATATATATATATATATATATATATATAAATATATATAAAGGGTAGGAATCTAAGACAAATTACTGATATTCAATATATATTCATTGGGCTGGAGAGCATTTTGCACAGCAAAATCCCTCTCATCTTCCTAGCAGTTTTAAATGATTGCTTAATGAGGTATTTCCATTGGTTTGGACTGATATGATATGCATGTAATCCCATACAGCAGTTCTGCAATGCTACAGTGTGTAATAGAGAGCGATAAAGACATCCCAAACCAAACGGTTAATCTCCCAAATATATATTATTGATCATAGTTTAGGATTTAAAGGAAAAGCAAAGGAACGGGGACACTGGATACATTATAAATATATATATATATGAAGCTAAAGATGCTCTACTTAACCAGTAAGGATGTTTTGTGTCGTTCAAAAGTAAAAACGCTGAATAAAATAACAGTAACACATCATCCTTGGGCACCAGCGGAAAAAAAAGACTGATATAAAAGCTTGTGGCAAAATAGTATAAATATAGTTGAACACACACATATTTATAGATCGTCTATATATATATATATATATATATATATATATTTTCCATTCTTTGGGACAAGAGGAGATTTTCCTTTTGGTTATGGTCAGATAGTGTGTTCCTGGTTTCTCTGTATGTGTGTGTGTGTGTGTGTGTGAGAGAGAGTGTGTTAAGGTGCAGTCATCAGGGCTGACAGCAGAACAGTGGCGTTCACACTAACTCATAGAAAACCTGCACACAAAACACAGAGAAAACATCACACACACACACACACACACACACACACACTTGTACTGTAGGAATGTACAATATTATGATATACAGTGGTCCCTCACTATAACAGTTTGCCTGATATCTCTCTGTCAGATGTAGACCATCATGCTGCACATGATGTATCTATCTGCGTAAAGAGGCTGCGCAGAAACACACATTTAAATTTGTTGACAGACAGTGTGAGTTACCTGTCGTAATCGAGTTACTTGTTGGCATGCCAAAAATTTTAATTGGATGAACATTTTTTGAGTCTTAAAAATAATTTTTATTTAAAAAATAAAACAAAATAAAAAATGTGTAAAAAATAAAAAAATGTGACTGGAAAATTAATTAAAAATAAAACAAAATAAAAGTCCTAATGGAGTTTTTTTGTTGGCGTGACAAATTTTAATTGGATGAACATTTTTTTACTCTTATACCTTATAAAAATACAATAATAATAATAATAAAATACAATATAAAAATACATTTAGATCATTTACTTTACTTTTATCATTACCATTGAAATGTGAAGAGACCAGCACAATCAATGCGCAGAAATACACATTTAAATTTGTTGACAGGCAGTTTGAGTTACCTGTCGTAATCGAGTTACTTGTTAGCGCGCCAAATTTTAAAGGGCCATGAAACCCCCTCGTTTCAGCAGGGTGTTTTCACACCTCTTCTTTGGAAAAAGTCAGAAAAGTGGGGGTGTCCAGCTCTGTTTAGGGGGGAGTGTCGGAGAAACTAAAGTGGGAGGGTGTGGGAGTGTCTATTTGGGCACGCGCGAGTTTCAGTCAAAATACACAGGAGAAAGGGATGGTGTTTAACCTACATGGACATCTGTAGTCGAATTATTTGCCAAATTATTAAATGTTGGACTTTAACTGCAGTTTGGCTCTTTCATTCAGGGAATTCATTCATACCCCTCGCGACAAATGAGATATTTGATTCGAAGATCTGCTCTAAGCGTGTATTTTTCATTGAATGTTTGATACCGCACAGCGAATGACAGAAAAAAAACTCAGCATTTCCCGGAAACTTAGATGCACACGGCAGGTAGCGTCCGAAAGCCGCGTGTGTTATTCCGGTCACAAAATGCGGTGCTAACATATTTGCACTCAATGCAATAGTTAACTTATTTGATACGAACAAACTGAATATACAAAGAGCACTGGTCGCTCACTTACCAAATCTGTAGAGACAGGACAATCACCAGCAACTAGAGCCGCGTCTTTATGAAGAGAAGACTACATCCGGAATCCGGATTTCAACGTTTGCAGATGAGAACAGCTCTCAGGTAAACAATAATCCTCCTTAGACACGTAAGTTATTGTTGTCGCGCGTCGCGTACACTGTAATCCACACGTGAGTCTGAGCTCTCACAGAGAGAAAATGAAAACGAAACTTAATGGCAGCAAACTGTAAAAGCAACACTTCACGCTTGTTTTGCCAACACAACGTGGCGTCTCTGTGGTGTAAAGACGGTGACACTAATGAATATTAATGAAGTTGCACAATAGAGCGCGCTGATTGGTTTGAACCAAGCCTTACTCATGCATTAATGCATCACACTGTAAGACGTAATAAGGCACACTCTGGCACAGACGCCCAGTCTGCACGCTGGAATACACGCTATTATGTCATGACCGTGACGCAGCTTCAAAAATTCGTTTCAAACAGGAAGTACGAATTTGCTTGAAATAACGCAAAAACAACCAATTTACACTTTTTAGTGAAATATAGGTGTCCTAATAGTGTTTTTAGCAGTGTGGGACACATATACGACTGTCAACAGCTCAAAAAATGTGTTTTGGTGTTTCGTGACCCTTTAATCGGATGAAATTTTTTTAAGTCTTAAAAATAAATAAAAAATCAAACAAAATAAAAGTTCCCGTAGAAAAATGTGACTGGAAAATTAATTAAAATTAAAACAAAATAAAAGTCCTTATAGAATAATGTGACTGGAAAATTAATTAAAAATAAAACAAAAGTCCCTGTAGAAAAATGTGACTGGAAAATTTATTAAAAATAAAACAAAATAAAAGTCGTATTGGAGTTATTTGTTGGTGCGTCAAATTTTAATTGGATGAACATTTTTTTTACTCTTATACCTTATAAAAATACAATAATAATAATAATAATAATAATAAAATACGATATAAAAATACATTTAAATACATTTAGATCATTTACTTTACTTACTTTAATCATTACCATTGAAATGTGAAAAGACCAGCACAATAACCTTACTGCACTATTAATCTTTGGTTTTGTTCTATAATGCTGGACTTATATTTCTACGAAGGTTTGATCTTTGAGTGTTTGAACAAGCCAGAATAGTGCATTTAATAAAGACTGCAGTGAGGGGTTTTGCATCCTTAAAACATCTTTAATAGTATAAAATAAAGCGCACTTCTTGGCGGATTCCTCCTGTTGTGCGTTATTTTAATAACGAGGGACCACTGTACAATAAAACCGTTCCTTAAAGAGCAAAATATAACTGAATACAGTCCAGGTTTTTTAATGACATGCAGACTCCTAAACTCATCAGTGTAACTATTATAGGGTGTGTGTGTGTGTCTGACCTCTGCACTCTGTCCAGGATCTGTGTGATCATGCGGTCAGTGACTCCAGGACAGAGATCTTCAGCCGTGTGCAGACTCTCCTCCAGCATCTCGATCACTCCTTTCGTCCTCTCATTGTCTCTGTGCTGCGACTTCAGCTGCAGAAAACACCCACAGACAACGTGAGCTTTAAGACATGTTGAAATGCTTAACTATACATACATGCAAAGATATCTCACACACACAAACACACGATCAGCTGATTGTGTCATGGTTAGACTGTTGCATTTTTAGTGTTGTCGATATGCTCATGTTCATACAGGCCATTGGTGCACAACATCTGTATATTTATATCCGCCTCAGAGCATAGTGGGGGTCGTGAGTCTCTGGCAGTGTCATTTTAAGGGTGATAAGCTGAAACGTTTGGGAATCCCTGCCCTAAACGAACCCTCCATCTCCTACCTCAGAGAACACAGGAGCCATGACGGTGGTTAAACTGGCCGACTTCTTCTGCAGCTCTTCATCCTGGAGGAGGAGGAGACACGGGCACGTTATTAATTCAATCAGTCTTTCGGCTTAGTTCCTCATTTAGCAGTGGTCACCACAGTGGAATGAACCACCAACTATTCCAGCATACGCTTTACACATATTTATGCCCTTCCAGCTGCAACCCAGTACTGGAAAACATCAATATATGCATATATACATTATTGGGCCAGATTTGCTTACCCAATCCACCTACTGCCAGTCTTTGGGCTGTACGGACACATTATAATGCAGAATTCTGCACACACACAGACATGTACAACTCACCGTGCCATTGGGCTGCTTCTTTTCCGTCTTCTTCTTACGAACGGTGGTGAAGGACCATTCAGGAGAGCTGTCATTGTCCTTACTGCTGGTTTCACTGATTTAAAGACAAATGCATGTGTGATCCTCAGAGCACACACTTTAACATCAATATATTAGGAATAACAAACATATTTTTCATAAACAGTATACTTTGTATCTGCGCAAAATAAAGCAAATGCATACAGTAAGTGATCCAAATGTTAAAAATGAAGTGTACTTGTTATCGCGCTGGCTGTTCTGTAAACGTTTATACAATGGATGATTATCCCGGGATAAGAGTATTGGCCTTAGCCATATCAGCTCATAAAACAGCAACGTTTCATTTTCATGCTTTAAATAGAAAAGTTACTGAAAGTCTTTGGTCATTTGAGCTAATGGTCTCATCTGATTTAATGATTTATGCTAAGCTAAGCTAAAAGCGCTCCCGCTTAAGCTGAAAACAAGCTGAATGGATGGAAATACGGTTTACCACTCATCTGTCGGCACTACTTTTTAAACACGCGTGATAATGACATGTTCAACCTAAATGGTTGGCAATCTTCAATGATCTGCTGGATAGATTTAAACTTGGACTCATTTTAAAGATGACAGATGTCAGATTGTAGCTGAAGTGAAAAGATAAAAACGTTTAAAACAAAACAGAGTTATGTGCCTTTATCTTTATGAAAAAAAAAAAATGTATGTTATTATAATAAGGGACTAAGCTGAAAATAAAATGAATGAATGTTATTATAATACATACAAAAACACACAAAAAAACTAAAATTGACAGAAAATTAAAGCTAAATATGGGAACAAATTACATTTTAAATTTAAAGTTTGAAGAAAAAAAAAAGTTTTCAGTAAGATTTTGTTTGGCCGCAGTACCAAACATGAGCACTAGATGACGTCATACCTGCCAACATTTGTCCATGAAAATTTGGGAGAACGGTGGGGTTAGGTTCGGGAGTGAGGTGTCTGAATAACACTGTTGAGAACCGGGTGTACTAGGGTATTAGTAACTGTACTATGAAGCTTGTTTCGGGCCGTACCAAAATGCTGAGGACTGGGGGAGGGTGGGTGATGGTTGAAATTACAGGAGTTTGCGGGGAGGGTGGCAGGAGATGGGTCTGAAATACCGGAGACTTCCGGAAAAAATGGGAGTTTTGACAGGTATGGGTGACATTCAGTTTGCACTGATGACAAAACAAAAGCGCCACCTACGTTTTGAAGAATATGAACTGCATTTTTCATCCTTTTGACATTATTTGTAAAGTAAACAGTACAAGTAAAGAACAATTCTAAAGTAGTACGGGAAGTTTGGTGGTATTTGATTTGAAGTTATTGATTGCTGTAGCAAAGTAATGCTTCACGACTCTGACAAGTTTCCTTGTTGCAAATTAATAAATAACTGTTGCTCATTAATGTCTATCAAAAATCCATCATCGTTTATGGAAACCAGAAATGTTGAGCTTTCAAATGATATAGCTAGTCATAATTGCTTCATGTTTAGACTACAATAATATGAATTAAAAAGGTAACCTTAAAAGGTCCTACAGGTTGTGCGATGACATTCCATGCCTTTTAATCTATTACTTTTCCTAAGTAACAAAAACTGTAGAGAAATATGCATTTAGAGGTCTTAGACCTTTCCAACAATATATAGGCCCAGTTTCACAAACAGGGCTTAGATAAAGCCAGGACTAGGCCTTAGTTAAATTAGGCTATTTAAGACACATTTATAAAAAATGGCCTTAGAAAATATGACTGATGTGCACCTGGAGACAAAAAAATGACACTGACATATTTTAAGACATCTCACCGCAAGTTATTTTGAGTTGAGACAGCTCAAACATGCAATTTAATCTTGACTAGCCTTAAACCTTGTTTGTGAAACCAGAGGAGAGATGGTCATGATTAGATTAGGATTTAATTGAAAAAATGTAGGTAACTTAAACGTCATGCTGGAGGGACAGTGACAGCTGAAGGATTAACTCTAAGAGAGTTGTAAAATGAATATTTCCCAAAAACTGGAGTGTTTCATTAACAAAGATGAAAAATACATCAACACTGACTGACAGAAGCTTATTTGTAAAGTATAATAATGCACTGTATGGTGGCAGCTCGCTTACGAGTCGGAGTCGGAGCTTGATTCTCCATCACTGTGGCCTTCAGCCTTCCAGCGCTTCAGTCGGTCGATGAGCTCGGTGAGGTAGGACGTCTTCTTGGCATATTTAACAATGAACTTGTGTTTTAAGAGCTCCTTTGCTGTTGGCCTCTGACAAATGTAGATAATGACACTTTAGTACCTTCATCAATCCACAAATACACCAGTATCAGGTTCACTAAAGCATGGACAGTGAATCACAATCATCAAAAATGATCCGCCTCTACTAAGGGCCTACTCACACTATGCCATCTGTACCGTGCCCAGGCCCTTTCCCAGATCGTTTGAGAAGTGTGAGTGCGCTGAATCGGGCTCAAGCACGGTTCACTTGGCCGGCCCTGGCCCGGTTGGAAGAGGTGTGCCTGAGCGCGGTTAACATGGGCTTTGGCGGGGTACGCTTGTAGTGTGAGTGCAAAACACGCCAAAGCCCAAAACTGAAAGCGAGACGTGACTTTTAAGGGACTGTTTTATATGGATTTATTTATCAATCTTACTGTTCAGTGAACGCAAACTGCCGTAGATTATTAAATACCCAAACTCCTCACTGCACGACAGCTGCACCTTCAGCAGACCTCCTCATTCCTGCAGCACGAGAGCTTTATGATTGTTTATGAGCGCCAAAAGTGGCGGATCTGTTCGGCGAAATATCTGACTGCGTGTCACCGCATCCCTAAGGACTGTTTGCCGAAATATTTGACTGCATGTCACTGCATATCAAACCACTGAAACCATATAACTAGAGAAATCTCCACTGTGCTGCTGAGTGAGAGGGCGCTTCTCACTGAACAGCGCAGCAGCGATGACGTAAGCGTGCCGAGGCCCGTTTGTGGTGTGAGCGTGGACCGTCGGGGGAGACGGGACAAGCGTGCTTTGGCCCGTTTGAGGCAACTGTACATAGTGTGAGTACGGCCTTAGCTATAAAATAAAGCAGCTACATTTATTTTCAATACTTAAATCTATTTTGCATGAAGAAACAACATCACCACTCATCACAAACTGTGTGTGTGTGTGTGTGTGTGTGTGTGTGTGTGTGTGTGTGTGTGTGTGTGTGTGTGTGTGTGTGTGTTGGAGTGCGTTTGTGTGATGTAAAAATGTTTTTATAGCTGGTGGGTCAGAAGTTGTGGCAGAATTCACGCTCAAAATCACCCCAGAGTGGATGAAAACATCCCCAACAGCACACGAGGGTTAATATTGTGTTAAGTAATACTCCTACACCTGAAAGTAATGCCGTGACTGTGCTTACAAAAGCAGGGTCTTTGTTGAGACAGGAGTCGACGAACTCTTTGAAGATCTTGGAGAAGTCTCCGTTCAGGGTGGGCGGTGTGTTTTTAGGGATGTGGAAGAGGACCCTCATTGGGTGCATGTCTGAGTTTGGCGGTTCACCCTTGGCCAGCTCAATAGCCGTGATGCCCAGAGACCAAATATCAGCCTAGCGCAAAACAAACACAACAACAACAAATGTTTAGATTTCTGAATCTTCGCATCTCTGGTGACCTGTATTGCAGACTGCAACTCTACGTTGTTTTCATTGTGTTTCATTTTTTATTTCGACATCAGGGGTGCCCAATCACGTTCCTGAAGATCTACCTTCCTGCAGAGATCAGCTGCAACCTTGATCAAACACTCCTGCCTTTAATAAAAAAGCGCTCCTTCAGATCCTACTTAGTTGGTTTAGTTGTGTTTGATCAGGACTGGAGCTGAACTCTGCAGAAGGCAGATCTCCAGGAACAGGATTGGGCACCCCTGCTTTATACCATTTCTGTTAGTGGTTTGGTCTTGATTGCAATGTTTTTGTAAGACGGCATGGACCAAGGACACCACTATGGGTGGGTCAGAAAGTGAATTTACTGTTTGTTGTACTGTAAATGACATCAGGAGGATTTTGTACAACCTCTCATGTGGAAAGCCAATAAAACATACATCGCTAAAAACAACAACAAATGTGTATATTTTAGATTGACTGCTTGGTTTTATGATTTCAAAAACTATATCTTTTTTATTTATTTATAATAATAATAATTATTATTATTATTAAGCAGAATCTTAAATAACAGCATATACATGATCCAAATGAACATTTAGTTATGCAAGCAACCCTTCTTAAAGGGACAGTTCACCCAAAAATAAAATGGTCAAGTCATCGTTTACTCTCGCTTCTTCAAAACACAGATATTATGCAAAATGCTGGCACTTATTGACTTCCATAGTAATTTATATTTCCTGCTTTTATTTTCAGCATTCTTCAAAATATCTTCTTTAGTGTTCAACAGATAAAAAGAAATTCATAAAGATTTAAAACCACATAAGGGAAAGTAAATGATGGTGATTTCATTTCTGGTTGAAACAACAAATGCTATGAAGACATTAATATTGTTTTAAATGTATAAATATAACATATTCACATGCTCTTTGAAGCTGAGATGAAGCTAGAAATACTCACAAATCTAGCAAGTTTAAAATGTAGTATTTTATTAAGACTTCAATGCTAAAACAGGGCCATGTTGTGTATTTTTGCTATTTAAATTTAAATCGTTAATAATTATAGTTATTAATATTCATATTTTATTAAACTCTAATCTGGACATTTGACGTGAAAACTAAAAGAAAAAAAAAAGAAGTTCACCGTCTGTTAGAAATTCTTAATTTTATATTTTACAATGGTAAAAATGATCGATATCGTATTTTATTTATAAACAAAGCCAGAATCAATCTGCGGACTTTGTTTAGCTATTTCTGCGCAGGATTTTTAAAAATAAATATCTGATTTCTGTAGAATAATTTTGAGAGTTTGAGCTGAAAACTTAAAATAAGTCTAAAAATAAAACTTGTTAACTTTTATGTAAGGTTTAAATTGCATATTCAATCCGCTTGAATTTGTTTGGTACAGCAGTAAAGAAAAAGTTACTTTACTAATTGCATTGCACACAATTAAATATTCAATAATGTCATTATTCTAATATATATATATATATATATATGTATGTATATATATATGTATGTATATATATATATATATATATATATATATATATATATATATATATATATATATATATATATATATATATATATATATATATAATATAAGCAATATACATTTAGAACTATAATATAACCAAAACAAATATGTTAAAAATTAATAAATATTTATATTTTGCACATTCGAGTAAATAGATGGAGTGCCATGCTCAAGTTATTATTAAAACTCTTATCTCTACAAATGGGTTAAAAAACACTACTTAGCACTTTGAAAACATTGTTAAATTAAAGCTTAATCAGATGGTTTATCATTTTAACACAATAATTTCAGCATTGACATATGTGCATCTGCTACACATGTAGTCACATCACAAGATGAGCAGGACTATGACTGAACCACTTCAGGTCGCATGTCATTTAAGGATCAGCAAAGTTCAGCCAATGTAGACTTTGTTCATCATTTGCATGTGTTTTTAAAGGCTTGTGCTGTGTAAACATATCAAGTGAGTTTAAAGCCTTCAGGCGTTAGACTCCACAGCATTTGCAGCTTTAGGAAATGTTTAATTGCATCTCATTTATATAGAGAGGAGGACTGTGAAGTAGTTCACCTCAGATCTTAAAAATAAAATAAACCGTTTTAAACTGTAGAGCTGTGACTCAGTGCAAGCCAACACACATCAGTGATTCAGCATCTACATTTCATAATGTTAAAGAGGTTTAATATGTATTAATTAGATAGTAACCTTACCATTTTGTTGGAGTGCAGTGAGTGCACTATTCTGTGCTTCTGAATGGCTGTGTTTACATTTCTGTCGTGTTTCGTCTGGTGCAAACAGCCAAATTGCTCACATAGAGTGTTGTTGGGACACGGGGTTACAATGTAATCTGCTCACCTATTGTTTACATTCGTAATATTTACAGGCCTCAACAATAAGGACTGCCTGATGGCCCGGGGCCAGTGTGCGAGATGTTCGGGACAGTAGACAAGATCGTTACTGCCCCGACTGGCCTTGTTACTAAAGTTTCATTTACCTGCGACTATTTCTCAATTGCTTAGTCTTAGAATCGAGAGACCGCTTGTGGTTTTAAGCATTTAAATGCTACATTCTTGGCGATTTCATAAACACCATATTACTTTTCGGTTTCTCTTATGTGATTGGATGTTGTGACCACGTTATTTTTTTCGTAACCTGGCAACAACCAGTAGAGCGAAGAGGCGGCAACACTAAAAGAAAATGTCTGCCTCTAGCGTCTTGGAAGCAAGAACTTAAATTTTGTATGTGGGTACAGCACAACAAACAAAAGTGAAGTGATGTTTTGCACAGTTTGCCATCAATTTGGCAAGTCAACCACATTTTGTTAAATAATTTAGATAATAATAATAATAATAATAAAAAAATACCAGCACATTTTCTATACTGCTCTTTTTCTTTGCTTAACACTTTGAATTTTGCTCGTTATACATTTAGAAACATTTTTAAATTCTACATTTAAATTCTAGATTTGCAGACATTATTTTTGATACATTATTTAAAATATATGGCAATAAAATGCTGTTAACTTTTTTTTTTGGTGGGGCCAGTGAAAATTTTCGGCCAGTAGAAAAAATCCTTAGGTGTTGAACCCTGATTTATATTATTTGCTAATTAATAACCAGCTCATGTGGAACACTGGTTAAAGTGAGCACTGACCTTTGAGTCGTAGGCAGACTGTTGGATGACCTCCGGCGCCATCCAGAACGGTGTGCCCACAAACGTCTCCCTTTTGATCTGCGTGTCCGTCAGCTGACCCGCAACCCCGAAATCTGCCAGCTTCACCTCACCAGACTCAGACAACAACACGTTAGCCGCTGCAACCATGCGAATAGAAGACACAACAGAGAAAACAGTTGAGACGGGAGATAGACAGCGATTCGAAGATCAGCGTTTACAGCAGATCTGAGAGCTGTGGGAAAGTGGAGAATTTTCAGTCCATAATATTGTAGTGACATTACTATAAACCTAGCAACTAAACCAATAGATTTACTATATTTTAGAGATTGGTATACAGGGTCTCTGCAGACATCATAATGTCAAATTTAAGACCTTTTAAGGACCATTAAGTATTAAATTTAAGACCTATATCGCAATATCAAAAATGTGAGAGAAAATGTAAAAGTACAAAATTATTGGTAAAATAAAGTTATTTAAATTAAACAGTAGTAAAGTCAGGTTAAATGCACCATTGAACTACAGAAAAAACAAACATCTTAATGCAGATTTATACTTTCACCTGGCATCGCACAACTCACCAAACGGATTAAGGCTTTTATACTTGACACGTTCACCATTAAGATATTTTTTTTTTAAATGACAGAGAGCAGAGCAGCCAGTGTTTTGAGAGCTCGAAAGCAGTTTTGTCCATGAACAAAGGAAACTGGCGCGTGAGCAGAGATTCACTCTCTCGTATTGCAGCACTCCCGACTTATAAAACTGCGCTTGCGACATTTGTCAGTGAAATAAAGGCATACTCTGCCAGCCGAAATCATGTCGCGCGCACTCAAAGCGAACTTCTGCAAACACAGCCATGATGTCACATTTACCGTGCGCACTGATTTTAATATCAGAAAGCTGATTGGCTATTGCAAGTTGACTTATTTGTAGTTGTAATACCACAAATTACAATTGGACTAGTGAAATAAAGGACTACAACACCCCAAAAACCAAGCAACAACAACAAAAATAATTTAAATGAGCATTAGATGTAGCGTTACATGGACATCGCAAAAACAAGACCTGTGGAAAAAATATTTAAGACCGAGAACAGCAAATTTAAGACTTTTTAAAGCCATAAATTTCGATTTTTTAATTTAAGACTTTTTAATACTTTTTAAGACCCCGCGGGGACCCTGATATAGACATCCAATCTCCACGCTATAATTTACACAAGGGTCTAATCGCTGTCACATTGCTTCAAAATATATTTTCAAAACGAAAGAACGAATTTAAGGGCTCTAAATTGCGACCATTTTGGTCGCATATGCGCCTGAAATTTTATCTATGCAACCTCAAAATATATTTGGGAGCATTTGTGCGAGTGCATAATATTGTTGTGGCGACCAGTTTTTACTGCAAAATGTTCACCACATGCGCAGATTCGGGAGACATTCACGCAGAATGCATCTCTGCACTTGAAACGCGAAACGCAGCGCTCAGGAATGGTTTAGTTGTCATGTCAACTTGCTGCAGTAAACAAAGCCAAGTCCTTAATGCTTGCCCCGCCTTCACGCTCTTCTTATTGGCTCACTGCTCTAGAACTGAACGCGAACGGATTGGTTAATATCAGCTGTCAATCACTCAGTCAATGCCTTCTGGCTTGGGATGGTAGGGGGAGCTACTACCCTGAAAGAGTAAAGCGCAGAAAATGAGAAAAAAAAATAACACTGACAGATTTAGTTTTAGAAACCATGACATCTAAAGCTACAAATAATGACACATCTTACTAGTGATCATGTGCTGAATGTTAATCCACCTACACTTTTCCAAGAGTAGAAGACTTCCATTGGCTTCAAGTCCGCTATGAAAAGTCTGTGGGATGGAGTTTTCAGGTAACTGTTTGCCACATCTAGCACGAGAGCTTCAGTTTAATCCTTCATATAATCGCCAGATGCTGTCCGTCGTGCAAGTGGCAGCTATATGTCAAATGTAACACCACGTACACCAGGGGTGTTTGGGCAGAGGGCCAGATGCAAAAAAAAAAACTGTTGTCCCGGGCCAAATTTTACATACATCACACACACACGCATATATATATATATATATATATACATATATATATATATATATACATATATATATATATACACACACACACACATATATATACATATATATACATATATATATATATATATATATATATATACATATATATATATATATATATATATATATATATATATATATATATATATATATATATATATATATGCGTGTGTGTGTGTGTTATGGAATTATTTTAATTATTTCAACTGTGTTTCTAGAAAGACTTACGTTTTTAAAATCTTGAATCTTCTCTAGGCAAATTACAGTTGCAACACTCATCAGACACTCCTATATAAATTCTCCTTCAGTGAAGGGTTTCCTGTGCATAACTAGCCAGTGTAGAATTTTCTTGCACTTTATTAGCATGGAAAAACTGCTGTTGTTGAGCTGATAGGGCAGCTGTTAATTGTTTTACTTTTTGATCTCGTTCGGCACCAGTGTAAAAGCTGAAGGCCTGATGTTTTGTTTCATAATGTCTTTTAATATTATATTCCTTCATTACTGTAACTGATTCCTGGCAAATTAAACAGACACAAATTCCGCTGACCTCTGTGAAGAAATATTCTTGGCCCCAACGTGACTAAAATTTCCTGCACTCACTGTTCATTTTCCTTTTTCTTGCTTGTGCCATGGCTCGCCAAAACGTGATAATCAATTATGTTTCCTTTAGTTTGTTCGGTTCGTTTTGCTTCTTAACAGGAACTGCTGCCTAATTGTCATAGCGACACCCGGTGGTTATTTATTGAATTACGTTCATTTTTGTATAGCGGGCCAGATTCTATTAATATTTATAAAAAGCCTCGCGGGCCGCCACAAAACGGATTGCGGGCCGCAGATGGCCCGTAGTTTGGACACCGCTGACGTACACCATCGCAAACAGGCTTGCACTGAGTAAAGTAATATCACTACTCATGAAAAATATTGCTATTAACATGACGTATGCATTTAATAAGGTACAGTATGTCAAAAGCATCAGTGCAATATTAGACAGCACCCGTGAGAACAGCACAGTTATACCGCTAACAGATTCATTCATGTCAAGCAGTGCGTGCAGGGCCGACGAGCGCTCCGTGTATCTTTTGGTTATAAAAATGTATTTTCTTGTGATAACGGGATATCGTTGAGACATATTTTCTTCACGCTTGCATATATATATATATATATATATATATATATATATATATATATATATATATATATATATATATATATATATATATATAAATTTTTTTTTTTGCTTGTTAGTTTGATAATTGTTGATTTGAAATGCAATAAATATGTTTGTATAAGACTTGTAGTAACGGTGTTTATAATCGGTGGGTGCGACTAAACTTTGTCTGATGCACCTAAATATTTAAAGTTAGGAGCACCGGTACTACCAAACAAAAAGGTCAATTTCGAGCCCTGAATTTGTTAGAAATAACACAAAAACCACCAGTTTGCATTATTTTTGTGAAATATACATGTCCTGTATATTACATGATAGTGTTTTTAGCAACGTGGGACACATATATGCCTGTCAACATCTCAAAAAAGGTGTTTTAGTTTTTCGTTACCCTTTAAATACATACTTATAAAGCAAATAAAGCAAAACAAACAAGCAAGCAGGCAAATAATATTCCCTAATATCCAACTGCATGAAGACCAAACACTAATCAGTGCAGATATTTGGAGACGAAGCAGCCGGAATCACCTCACCCTGGACAACTCAAACAAGTGGAAAAACAAACAGCAGTGGAAAAACAAAGAGGTCACACCCACTCACTCATCCACGCAGACACAAATATTCCTCACACGGAGACAAACGCTCTGCGCACACACACCTTTAATGTCCCTGTGGATTTTCTTCTCCGAGTGCAGGTAGTCCAGACCCTTCAAGATCTCCTTCAGCATGGTGGCGATCTGGTATTCATCAAAGGGCCCAGCTCGCAGCTGCAAAGACATACACACAGAGAAAGACAGACAGACAGAGACCAACAGGTTAAGAGCACATGACAGCAGGATGTTCAGGAGCTGAAAAGGCTCAAATATAAAGTGAGATTTCTCACCAGGTCCAGCGCTGAGCCTCCTCCCAGATACTCCATAATGATCCATAGTTTACTACCCTGAAACAACAACAACAGACTTACACATCAAATCTTCCAGTCTTATTAATGCCATTGCGAACCAATTTGATCCCACCACTCGCAACTGTGACCATGTCTCTTTTTCTTATCTCAAGAAATTATAAACGTTGCTGCGGTTAAATTTGTGTAACTTTTAAAAATGAAAAAAAAAAAAAGATTTATCAATGTCACATCTTATATAACTCCATGCATTTAGGTCATACATGCCAACATTCGGATCATAAAATCTGGGAGATTTTATCTAGGGGTGCATGCATGTGAAGTGAAGATGGAGTTTTCCGGGAGACAGAACAATACGAGAGAAGGGCAGGAGATGGGTCTGAAATACGGGAGACTCACGGGAAAAACGGGAGTGTTGGCAGGTATGATTTAGGCATGTAGACATGGTCAAGACGATCTGCTGCAGTTCAAACCGAGGATCAGAATGAGGAAGAAAGGGGATTTAAGTGACTTTGAACGTGGGATCGTTGTTGGTGCTGGTCTGAGTATTTCAGAAACTGCTGATCTACTGGGATTTTCATGCACAACCATCTCTAGCGTTTACAGAAAATGGTCTGCAAAAGAGGAAATATCCAGTGATGGCTACTTCCAGCAAGATAACATGGTGTAACTGTACAATCACACTGAAAGTCATTCATTTTCAATGAGAGACGGCGGCGAGGAGCGGCGCGGCACGTTTTCTTCAGCGTGGGCGTCAAGGAGAGTTGAAATCAAGTCAACTTTATGGAAGCGAGCTATGATGCGATTCGGCGACAAGCAATCAGAATGAAGACGTCCACCGCTTGATAGGAGTTCAGAGAACACAGACCTGTGAACTTTGGTTCCGACCACAGTTGTTCCCAAGGGTTTAATGATTGCGGTCGCCGGATTTCCAATTATTTACTATGTTTTCTTACAGGAACATGCATTAAATAACTTACTGGCGAGTTACTGATGTTCATTAATGTTATATAAATTTATCTTAAAAAAAGTGGGAATCTCACGCGACGTGACAATACAAAACAGTACTGCTGCTTCAGGATATTTCAGACATATGGACACATATTGGATAAAAAAAGCCACACCACACGCAACTTGATCTTCCATTGTTATATGAATTTGATAAGTGCGCAACATTTTCACGCTAGAAACATGTTTAATGCAGGAATGAAACTGATATGCTGCAACGGCTCCTTTAAATACGAGATAAAGGTAGCGGGTTTTGACGCTCTCGCCGCCGGAGCTGAAGGCAGACAGCGTTGTCACCAGGGCGGCCAGAGCGACATTGGACACTCTCGCTGCTTTCGGTGTGAACGTACAGTAATAAATAATCTCAGACTGGTTTGTTGAACATGACAATGAGTTCGCTGTAGTCGAATGGCCAGAGCTCAATCCAATAGAGCAGCTTTGGGATGTGGTGGAACGGGAGATTGGCATCATGGATGTGCAGCCGACAAAACTGGAGCAACTGTGTGATGCTATCATGTTAATATGGAGCAAAATCTCTGAGGAATATTTCCAGTACCTTGATAAATCTATGCCAAGAAGGATTAAGGCAGTTCTGAGTGTAAAAGCGCGTCTAATTTAGTATTAGTAGGGTGTACCTAATAAAGTGGCCGGTGAGTGTTTTGAAAAAATATGTCATCACTCTTAAAAGTATGTGCCAAGCATTTTTGTGTGTTTGTTTATCCAGATTTGACCAATCAGATGAGGCATTTATCTTCATCTCCACCTCTCCAGCAACCCTAACCTTAACCTAAAGCAGAAAATAAACACTAATGCCAAGAGACAAGAGAGGAAAATGACACCAGCCAATGAGAATCAGGATTTACGGTGAAGTTTCCAGTCATTTTTGCTGTTTTAAAGTCTAAATGTTAAGTAATAAGCTCAGAATAAATCTATTACCTGTTTATTTTAGTATGATAATACTGATAATACATACGTTTTTTTTTAATTGCTGATAAAATAGCATTTTTTAAAGCTATAACATAAGAAGAACACTCAACAACAAGATTGCATATGTTCCCAGTATCGTTCAACCCTAAAATGAACACTCAATGTGCCATCAATGTGTACACACACACACACACACACACACACACACACACACACACACACACACACACACACACACACACACACACACACACACACACATACACACAAAGAGGCCAGACAAAATCTATGAGCATACGTTCTGGCTGGCAGGCTTCCAGAAATACAGGTATTGTGACATAGCACAAAGGGTTTGGTCATGAATCATCGGTGGCATCAAATCTTTGCAGGCAAACAACTTCAAAACTCGCCATTAAAATCATCCCCAGACATCTTTTGTGTTCATTTCCATCTAAAGTCAGTCATGCGTACTGCGCATGTGCTGGAGTCGCACACAGTGATGACGATATGATAATACTGCAGTACTTCATCTTCAAATTACAGCCGATGCCAAGCGTTTTACAAACAGGAGCACCGCAACTCAGAGCAGAACATATTTCAGGGCTGTGAGTTAAAGCTGCACAATATATCGGTTTAGGCACCAATATCGTAATGTGAGCATCCGCAATATTCGCATCTGCAATGTTGAGTTGGAAAAACAGCTGACCAGGAGCCACAGAACAGGAGAGTCACTGCAGAGTTCAACTATAACTGAGTGTGTGTGTTTCTTCTGTGCTTTTTATTTAAGGAGGACAATGAAAAGTGAGGAAAAAAGGAATTATAAATATATATATATATATTAGTGGTGGGCGTTAACGAGCTGCGTTAACACAAGACACTTATAGCGCGCTAAAAAATAAAATCTATTCTCAAATAGCTGGGTCTATTTTACGCAAGCTATGATGACTTTCACCTTGATATTTTAGCGCGGATGTATCCCTGACCGTTGAGCTGTCTGACAAAAAAGTGCTCTCTGAATCAAATCAGCAGGATGCCTGACTTTAAAGGTACTAACCGCTTAGCATATTATCTTTGGACGTGGATTCAAAGCCATGTCTCCTGTAATCGCAAAGGCACGCACCGCGTCACAACAGCAGACAACCCACTAGTTCATGTCATTCGCCAGTTAGTCGGTGTTTGGCCTGCGGGCTGCAGGAATTACATTTATTACTAAGCCATACTTACATGCTATTTCAGAGTGAATATTCAGAGTAGCGGTAAACAGTATAGGAAGGCCATCATTGGTCAGAAATGAACCAATGTAAATATAAAAGCAACTTCAGCAGGTTAGGCGAAATAGGCCTGTTTAGTAATGTTTGGTTGTTTAACTAAATAAAAATCTACATTATCGATGCTGTAAAAGGACTTTATAAAACTAAAAATAGTCACATCAATCTTTCACCGGGAGATTTCAGTGGCTGAACAACACGTCTGTGCATATAAGTAGGCCCACTCGGAATCTGCGCGCGCAGAATTCCGCAGATTTCTGCAGATGTCAAGCCCATCATTAATTCTGTTTATTTACTTGAGTAAATGTGTGTAAATCTATATTTATTCAGTTTTTTAATTAATTACAGCAATATTATTGACCAATATAAAAATGTTCATCTGATTTATGCACAATGCAGTTTTTACAGTATTATTTTCTGTCTTTTAGTAGATATATTATATGAGAGACTGGCTTTGTTTACCAAATAAAGCGCATCTAATTGGATTTGCAATTTACACATTGAATAAAAGTTAAAAAGGCATTACTTTTTATTTAACATATTAAGGTTTTAGTTATGATACTCATAAAATAATTCCGCAGATATCCACAGTTTTTTTACCAAAATTCTCTGCAGAAATAGCAAAAAACTTCCGCAGATTCCGCCTGGCCCTGCATATAAGCCATTCATAACACAATCTAACATAAGCTTAGCCTGACTAAAACAGTTTTAAAACAGAACATCACCTGTCTATCAGTAATACTTCAGCGTGCAAAACTAACTCCAATACTGATTCAGGATTCTCAAAAGTTTCAATTCAGCATTTGATTTCACCGCATCTGTGATTGTCTTGTGAACGTGCGGCGCTCATGCAGGCATGCACATGCGAATGGCAGATCGGCATGAACAGATGTGCAGAAGTCCGAATGTACATTTGCTGACAGACAGTTTTAGCTACTTATCGGAATTATGGGAAATGTCGGCCCGACTCTATTTAATTGGATGAACATTTTTTTAGTTTTATGCCTTACCCAGAATATAAAAATGCATATAAATGCATTTAGATCATTTACTGTAATCCATACTATTAGACTGTGAAGAGACTTTCAACCAGCACAACAACACATGTTTCTGAAGACAATCACATACTGCACCTTTAACTGCAGTTTGACAGTTTAATTTGAACTCATTTCATTCGTGCCCCCGTTACAAACTGGGCTATTAGATGCAAATAAAGAGTAATGACTGGAGAGAGTGTTCTGGAATTTAATAACGAACGTCAAATAGAAAGAAAAAAACCTCTGCATTTCGTGGGATTCCCCCCAATGTGTAAAGTGCTTTGAGTGTCTAAAAAAGCATTAAATAAATTTAAGGAATTATCATTATTATTAATCATAAAGCATCTCTGCTTGAATGGACTCCAAATTGTTTAGCGATTTTTTTTCGCAATATAACAATTAATACATAAAGAACTTCTTAAATGCAATTACAACTCATACCCATTGTGCCCCTTTTTACAATTAAAATATGTCTGATGTCCCTAGAGTGTGTACGTAAAGTTTCAGCTCAAAATACCACACATATAATGTTTTATAACTCTTTGAATCGGACCCTTTTACGCTTTGATAAAAATAGTGGCGTTTTGGTGACTGTCGCTTTAAATTCAAACAAGATTGTGCTCTATTCAGAAGCAGGTGGAGAAACGGGTGCCTGTGTGTCAGCACATTGGCAGACTCAAGAACAAGGCTAACGTCCTATGCTAATGAGGGAGAGGTTGCTAGTGGGCGGGGCTTTTTGATGACATGTACAAAGGGAGAATGTCAAGCCAAGTGTTTCTGCAGACTGTTTTTATCTAGTCTAATTACATAAAATACAATTAATACATTTTTACCATTACAAGCTGGTTATATGCACATACTGCTGCCACCCAACTGTGTTTAAACCCCTTATAAAAGTGACTTTTGCATAATAGGTCCCCTTTTAACATATGTGAAACAAGTCAATCCATACCTTTAGGTAAGAGCCGTAGTATTTGGTGACGTGAGGACTATCACACTGGCTGAGGACTGTGATCTCCTGCTGGATGTCTTCGATTTCATCTTCTGCTTCCTCCAGATCGATGGTCTTGATGGCCACTACGTTCTGAGTCTGCCGGTCGATACCTTTAAACACCTCACCGAACGACCCCTTGCCGATACGGTCCAGTTTCGTGAACAGCTCCTCAGGATCTGTTCGACTGTTCTGGAACACAAAAGAAAATGATAGGAGAAACTAGTTACGTCACTGCTGGAATTCGGTACCAATTGGTCCTGAAATATTAAAAATTTAAATTTACCGCTAACATTTGAGCGCTGTTGAGTGCGTTCGTAAACAGCGCTGAGTTGCCGTTGTGTTCACATGCTCAACAGAATTGACTGTGATTGGCCATGAAGGTCATCAGTTCACCAAACTCACTGCTGTTTACTGAATCGAAACACAGATACAGCAATTTAAAGTCACATCGATCAGCTGGTTTGTCTATAAGCTGACAAACGAGTGATCCGCTGATGAATCGTGGCTTTAAAACACTTTTAGTGTTCCTGTATCTCTTTTGACACTCAGTAAACAGAGGTGAGTTCGGTGAACCGTCACAGCCAATCACTGTCATTTCAGTTGAGCACGTGAACACAATGGCAAATCAGCGCGGCCAGTTTGGAATAAAAATTACAACAGAACAACAGCACGGATAAATAACCTTAGACAGAATGAATTAAAATATTAAGGTTAAAAAAATTTAAAGTTAAAATAAAATATATTCATACACATTTAGTTTTTATTTAAAGTAGGGTAATGCAAAAATTAATACCCCACAACAAAAACTACCTGGCGAGGCAGTGGCGCGGTAGGTAGTGCTGTCGCCCTACAGCAAGAAGGTCGCTGGTTCGAACCTCGGCTCAGTTGGCGTTTCTGTGTAGAGTTTGCATGTTCTCCCTGCCTTCGCGTGGGTTTCCTCCGGGTGCTCTGGTTTCCCCCACAGTCCAAAGACATGTGGTACAGGTGAATTGGGTAGGCTAAATTGTCCGTGGTGTATGAGTGTGTGTGTGAATGTGTGTGTGGATGTTTCCCAGAGATGGGTTGCGGCTGGAAGGGCATCCGCTGTGTAAAAACTTGCTGGATAAAGTTGCGGTTCATTCCGCTGTGGCGACCCCAGATTAATAAAGGGACTAGAAAATGAATGAATGAATGAACAGAAACTACCTTATCTAGTTTGTATGCATGATTTCTAATGACAGCACCAAGACTTCTAGGCATTGAATGAACAAAATGGCTTCATTTTGCAACATATATCTTATATTCCTCTAAAATGACCCCTCTTTTAGAGCTGCTCAGAGATGCTCAACTTAATGTCTCATCAGAATTCCCCATGTGTTTAATTGGATTCAGATGAGAAGATGTATTTATAATAATATAATATATTAACATAGATGTTTATGTGTGTGTGCATATTATTAGTTTCTGCATTTATTCATTCATTTTCTTTTCAGCTTAGTCCCTTCATTAATCTAGGGTCGCCACAGTGGAATGAACCGCCAACTTATCCAGCATATTTTTTACGCAGTGGATGCCCTTTCAGCTGCAACCCATCCCTGGATATTATCCATACCAACTCATTCACACTCACACACTACAGACAATTTGGCTTACCCAATTCACCTGTACCTCATGTATTTGGACTGTGGGGGAAATCGGAGCACCCGAAGGAAACCCAAGCGCACACTGGGAGAACATGCAAACTCTTCACAGAAACACCAACTGACCCAGCCGAGGCTTGAACCAGCGACCTTCTTGCTGTGAGGTGACAGCACTACCTACTGCACCACCGCGTCACCTTATTTATTTATATTATATACATTTATATATGATTTTATATATAGAGCTTTAAGAATATACGATAATGGACACAATGAGAACATTTACAAGGACCCCAATACACTGATTGTAATACGATTATGACAATGCATATAATAAATGTAATTTAATCACACGTCTGCGATACGTATATGGGGTATATGCCGAAGCATGCTAATAGGACTTTTAATTTGCCAGTAACCTGGGTTTAGCTCTTTCGGCGAAGTGAATGCCAATGCAAAAACCGGCCCGTTTAAGGTCTGTTTTCTTTAAAAATCAGCGATCTCCACTAGCTGAGTGATATCCGATTTAATGGGTCTCAGATTGTATAAAAAGCACTGCATTAAATTACATTTTCCCCGCCATATCTTTATAATATGAGCATTTATTTTACCCTAGTATATTCAATGGAGCTTCTGCGTTAGCCTGCCGATTCTGACAGGCGCGTGCGAGTAAACAGCTTTTTGTCTCGTTTTACGCTTGAGCAACCAAATAAATGCTAAAGTTTATTTAACTGAATGTATTTTAATGACATTACAACATCGATGCTGTATGAGGGACCGTATAAAATGGAAAAAAGTTCACAATAACAGGTCACCTGAAGTGTATCAGCATGGGAACAGCACTAGCTCGGCATATACCCTATTGCACACACATATCATGATAATTTTGTGATATATTGTGCAGCGCAGCCCAACTAATATTGTAAACAGTGGAAACAGTGTAGGTTTTTCATATTTATGTAGTCTAGACAACAATATGTTTTGTAATATTTTAATCCTTTATATATATCCTATATATATTCTTATAGTATACTATATATCCTTAATATTTTATTTTTTTATATATGTAAAGATATTTGCGTATTGCTCTACATCTTGTGTGTATTAAGCAGTGTGTAACTCTGCGCTGGACTTTAGACCTGGTTTATTTTGGTCTATTGAAAAATCTATTATAGTTTCTCAAAATAGCGACGCGCCAGCAGTGCGCCTCAGAACGCCTTCCTTTTTAGAGCAGAACGCCTATGGGCGCACATATGAGCGCTAATGCATTTGCTATTTAAACAGCGTAGCGCAACGCCTCAAAACCACTCTTGCGCCAAGCTGAAACTAGCAAACAAGTATTGCGCCGCGCTTTGCGCCGGGTGTATAATAGGGCCCAATGTGTTTTTTGTAGTAAAAGGCACCAGTATTGGTAGTAAGAATTTTGCAAACTGCTTATGTCTATTCTAGAGCTCGGAGATAAAAAGTCAAAAAGTCAATTAGCAAAAAAAAAAAATATTCCTGACATCACACGCTGCCAAAGATTAAATTTTGGGAAGAGATGGCATCAGGAAACAGTTGGGAATTACTTTAGAAAACCAGCGTGATCTGGTGATGAGGCATTATTTATAGCATTTAAATTATAGTCCCTCCTGCTTTCACTTCTCATTGTAACGGAGGGAGCAATTCGATTGTGAATGAATCTCCATCATGAATGACTCGTTCACTTAGCCATATAATACAAGCCAATAATACAAGTTTCTGGCACCGCAGCATCTTGTTGTAATATTTCATTTACATTGATTGCTTATTTTATAAAAAAAAAAAACTAGCATAAGCCGAGTGTTTATTGTGAGTTGGTGCTACTTTGCCTTATGGTCGGTGCAGTAAGAGACTGCATTATCATCAATAGTTGTTGAGTTCGTAACATGCAAAAACAGAAAAAATGAAACCTTACCTATGAAATGTTCTGTCTTTGAGATTTGTTTTCTTTGTTTGCTCATTACTACACTCCAGCATCTTCACATTGGCTTAAGTCTTGACTTGTGCGGTTGAATGACATTTGCCCTGGGAGCACTGTACAAATGCGGTGGTGCTATTATTGACGCATGCTCAGGCTCCATATGCGATATTTAGTGTATATATCTATGGCCTTAAATGGACTTCAGTGCTTCTGCACTAACACAGTTGATTCAAAAGTTGCCTAGCAACATAAAAAGTGCAAAGCACAGCTCTTTTTTTAAAGTCAACCAATAAGGCAGCATGGCGAGCTTCACGTTTTCAAAACTCAAAAGCAGATTCTGTGTGATCGACGCCATAATGCATCCTGCTTCACTGCCTGCGTCCTTCAGATAAACCCCTGTGCACAAACCGCGACGTTAATGACAGGGCTATCTGTATGCTAACAAGCTCACAAGGGGGTGTGTATGTACCCCCACAAGATTTATCAGCTGGATGCATTTCCTTCACTGAGGGCTTTCAAACGCATGAAACAGCAGAAAGGCAGATCCCCTCAGGGACTGCAGAAAAGCATTTGGGATAATGCACAAGGGTACAAACTGCATGACACGACAAGCTTTCATCCGAGTGTGCTGTTCCTGTCCGGCTGACTCAGGTGCAAACCATGGTAAAACAGAGACGGAAACACCCAGACTCTACGCCCAGGACTATGACACTCCTTCACGGCGCTATTAAAACATCACTTGAATGAATGGACAACTGTGTGGCCATTTTAATAGGACAAGACTGGGGAAAACTCACTAAATAAACACTCCAAAGGCACGTCACAAGTGTTACATTAATGAGCAAACCTCTGCATAATGATTAACAATACAACCAGGAATGTACTTTTCTGCTTAGTTGTCACAGCAGAGTAGTCACTGAGAATGTGTGTGTGTGTGTGTGTGTGTGTGTATTCAGTGCTATGCATGTGAGAGCTCAGTTGTTTTCTCTTATATGGTGAAATTTCAAAATGACCCATTAGTGAGGACATTTCACTTGACCTCACTGTTAATAAGGCTTACAAATCAGCACAGGTTATTATTTGCATGTTGTCTGTGAGGGTTAGGGAAGGGTTAGGCCATAGACAATGTCACGTACCTGAAATAAAACCACTGAAAGTCTACATAAGTCATCACAAAGATAGGAAAGAAATGTGTGTTTGAGTGTGTTTTTGTGACATTAGACACAAATTAGTATAATAACATGGTTTGACACGGTATTACAGGAGAAGGTGACTTACGAGGACACTGCTCATGTCCCCATTTTTCCAAATCCTACAACATTAGATTCCCCCCCCCCCCCCCCCCCTTTACCACAGATAAACAGAAAAATACAAACATTTATTCTCACATAATTAGTCATGATTAATCATTATTAAGCAGGACTAGTTTGTATAGTATAAACACTATTACGCCTATGAAATGTCCCCACAATTCCCTAAAACCAACTTCTCTGTGTGTTTTTCTACATGAAGAAGCATCTGCCTGGCCGTGGTGTTCTGCATCAGTGACTTTTCTGTTTGTTGTCAAAAAAATGTAGAGGTGAAGCCCTGATCTTCAACCCCAAATAACACTAAATAATGTTAGTATA